TGATCCATTCCAGGTTCAAGTAACCCGTTTGGGTCGCTCCTTGCTTTTACCAAAAAGGGCTTACGACAACACTTCTGCCTCATGTGTAGTTCAGCGTAATATGCCACCTGATGCAACCCGCTGGTAAGTAGCTCACAACGAGACAACGAAATAGGTACAAGACATCAAGTCGTACTATGCTGAAAATAAAAATTCAATTTTCAGCGCGCGGTATTCATGAACTGTAGCAAGCAAGTTGGACCAAGTTAAGCATAATAAAGGAAATAATAATAATCCGCTATGAATTGAACGTTAAATTCTAAATCTCAGAGGTAACCTCATGCACGAGTGCTCCAGATTCTTTGCGCGAGGCGTTTAACCTGAATAATAAGTTCTTGTCTATTTCATTTTGCACGAGCTTGGCCCTCAGACATTTACAGAGTTGTTTTCGCATCAGAATATTTTGAATTTTAATTGGAAATACATTCTGCTTTGTAGTAAACAGTAGAAACGAAAAAAAAAACCGTGTTTGATTAAAGTCAGAACCAAAGTAACTCGCGTTATTTTTCGAATTTTTAACAATACAAAAGATAACTTGTTTCGCCAAAATAATTGTCTGTACAAAGCAAAGTTGCATCGATAAGATTGAGTGTATTTTGCCGTTGCTGCACCAGAATCTTATATACGCCTTACTGAATGACAAAACAACCTTACATGTTTCACTTTCCCTAACCTCTTACGGAAATGTGAACAATGAAAACTTAAAAACCCGCAAAATTGTCTTCTTGTTATTCAAACTGAATTGACTGATGCGAAGTTCGCTCGAAAACCTGTTCCGTAATAACAAAATAACCTGACAATTCTGGCGAAACCTCGCACAAGATTTACCTTGATAAGTTTCCTCTCTTTGTCTCCCGTTTTTCATTCAGTACTCAGAGAGAAGGAATAGTTATCTAACAAGAAAAATCCTTCACGAATGCTATCACTTGTTGAAAACTTTTTGACAACCCAGGCAACTAGCGTTTTCTATCAGGGGGCTCCCTGGTGGAATCCAGGGTTCGCTTGTCAATCATCAACGGTCATCAATAACATCCGGCAACACAGCGCTGAGTTGTCAATAAATAGAAAATGGAGGTAGATATCAGTTTAGTCGATTTAAAGTTCAGTTAATTTTGAATTTAAAGAAATAATTTAGGCAAGCCATTTGATTTGTGGGTTTACAGTGCATTTTATTAACTAATTTCGTGCGTGGAAAGTCATTTGAAATTCTGCAAATCTGCCTTTTCGCTATTATTCTTATTTCGAGAGATATTTTATCGATAGCACGTTGACAGCTTCAGCTTATTTGTCACTTACACTCTTTACCTCAACAGGAGCGCACCCGAAGTGATCCAAGACGGCAATTATACTCATGCTAGTGATGTTTGGGCTTTTGCGGTCCTTGGTTGGGAACTGTACACTGCCTTTGCAACAGGCCAGGAGTTTAAGGAATACTCGGTGCCTTACTGTAACCATGCTGCCGAGGAGGTTTGTTTGCTGAAAACTTTACGATCTCACTTAGCTGGTGGATTCGATCAATTTTTTCTCACTTTGTTCGTGTCTAAATTTAGTTGTCCCTCGCTGGTTATTCTCCAACCTTATGAGCCTCGAAACGGTTAAATGGGAATATGACGTGCCTTAGGAAAAGGTATTTGGATTTCTGGGACTAGAACCAGGATTCAAAATAAAAAAGGGGGAGGGAAGAAGCAGAAAGGAGATTTAGGCAAACCATGAGCTAAAAAGTGCGATTCCAACCCCCCCACCCCCCCCCACCCTTCCCCCTTTTCCCTTACAACGAATCACATTATGGGAAAGGCGAAGGCAAAGGCCCAAATATAACGGAAACAGCGTTTAAAGGAGAATTTCAACTTGAAATCGAATTGTATGCATTAAGAATAAGTCTTTAACAAGGCTATCGCTTCAATAAAATTGATATAATTGAGTATCTTCATCTTAGGTTATCCATCAGATCAGAAACGTTGGGCCACTATCACCACCAGACAATTGCCCCGATTGGGTGTATATCGTGATGCATCAATGCTGGGCATTCGACCCGGTACAACGGCCTCCGTTCATCGCCATCTTTGACTGCCTCACTACAAGGTAACCACACAATTACACACGAATGTTTGTAAATCAGTAAGATTTTTGAGAAACGGAAGTTTGACAGTACCTAACTATGTCCCTAAGTTTTCCATTTGAACTGGCTGTAGTCAGAGTCACTCTCCGAGGAGGCATGAGCAAGGTGTGGCTCGGTAAAAGACTTATACCGAAGTATTCCACCAATTTTTCTGACTTCACTTTATATACCAGACTAACTCAAGGAATGAAGGAAATCAATGATAACGGGAAAAGATAGATACCTAATTTGCGAATTATTGGAGTTTTTAGACTTTGAAAGTTGTTTTAAGCCTAAAATAACTGAGAAGGCAACCATTTGACGATATCAGAAGCCTTTTATTGATAAGTGGGTCTGACCCTGCAAGATTTTTTAATGGATTTTTTTAATTGATTTACCTCTCACAATCAAACATCTCGTTTCTTATAGGCAACCAATGAACTCTTGGCTAATGTCATTGTGGAAAGAGCGCCATGAAAAGAGCGAATGGCCTGATTCATCAATCACTCAGCCTGAAAATGCCTGTCACATCACCAACCAAGACAAGAACTGTCTTAAAGAAATTATAGAGCAGATGTGCAACGACGGTTATAAGCTTTCAGAACACGATTACAGATATGTTCAAGAAAATGCCATCAATCGAGTGGCCGAAGAATTTTATGATGATCTACCAGTGGAAAAGTGCTCCAAAACGTCTTCAGATGTGATAGAGGATGAATGCTATGAAGACATCTCACCCACCAGTCTATCCGACTATGATTTTGAAGGGAAAAGGGCAGAGAGTCCGACAGATTCCAACACTTCTTCCACTGAACCTCGGTACCAAAATGTAAAGAATTTCGGTATCAAGAAAATTCCGTATCATACAGAAGAAGAAGAGCTTTATGATGACATCGACAATATCCTTCATCAAAATATTAGTACCGTCAACACCCTGGTGGTAGGTGAGGAGGAACAGGAAGAGGCAGAAACATACGATGACATCTCAGAAGAAGGCCAAGAATTCTATGAAGATATTGAAGAACGATCTCGTGATCCTTGCCATGGAGCGTGCGCAAATGAGCCTTCTTCAAAAGATGGTAACTCCCCTTTGAACACCGAGAGTCAAGAGCCTTCTTTTGAAGAGGATATTTACTCAGTAGACGAAGAAACGGACCCAGTAGATCCAGAAGGGGAGGATTTATACGAAGAGATCGATAATCTCAGGCCACCATCGTATGCAAAAGCTTGCAATGAAACAGAACAAGCAAACGTAGGCTCGAAAAACGCCAGCTGCCTTCCCCGAGGGGGTGTTCCCTCAGTAAACGAGGTGGAATTCCTCTATGAAGAAATAGGAGGAAATCAAACGACAGATTCCGCGGCGTACCAAAGTACCACAGGTCCCCAAGATCATCACACCACAAACAACCGAGATGAAGCAGGATACAGAGAACTTAGCCAGAGAGAGTCATACATGCAACTGACGCGACCTACAGCAAAGAAACCCAGTCCTGCCATGAAGAACGCCGCAAAGCTGAACAACCGCAGGTTGCCGCATAAGAGAAAGGAAACAATTAACGATCGACTTCGCAATACTGTTAAGGAACCATAAAATTGTAGAATCAAACATTGAAATTTTTTGTTGAATGACTGACACGATGAAGGTGACCAACAGTCGTAATTAAATTCATAGATAAGTCGAGTTCAAGGAAAGAACTAATCACTGCAGGTGAGCTGCAAGTGAGGAATGTCAGTAAAGAAGCCTGAAGATTTCTCGGTTTGTCCGAATGTCGAATCCGTTTCTTTTCAGATTCTAGTTAGTTGCTTCTTCCAGTTGAGCTACTAAACCACAGGTTGGGAACGAGGCAAATTTTATATAAGTTCCTCGTTATCGAAAAGGAATTTGATCGCAATTAAATGAAGTAATTATTTACTTTTCATTTTTTTTTCAATATTTGTTTCTGTCATCCAATTTTTAGAGATAAGTCGGTAACATGGAGGCGTTGAAAAGATAGGTTCTTGTTGCTTGGCAACCAATATATACACTTTTAAATTCAGAAATGAGTTATTTCTTAGTCTTGTACATAGTGTTGTTTTTTAAGGAGAAAGCGTGAGAAACAATAGTTTTGTACTTTTCCAACAATATCAACGAAAACAAAAAAAAACCATTTTTTTTGCTCACCACCCGTTGGAAAAAAAAGCTTCAGTTGTAGTCATCAATGAATGGAATAAGCTATTACTAAAGGCTTTGATACAATCATTTACATAAATATCTATTTCTGTCATCCAATTTTTTAGAGATAAGTCGGTAACATGGAGGCGTTGAAAAGATAAGTTCTTGTCACTTAGCAACCAATATTTACACTTATGAATTCAGAAATGAATTTTTTTTTTAGTCTTCTATATAATTTTGTTTTATAACGAGAAAGCGTGAGAAACAATATTTTTGTACTTTTTCTACGATAACAAAGAAAACGAAAAAGCATTTTTTTGCTTACCACCCGTTGGAGAAAAAAGCTTCAATTGTAGTCAGCAATGAATGGAATAAACTATTGCTGGCTTTGGTACAATCAAATATCCTTCTTTATGCAAGCCAGATGTTAATAAATGAAATCCAATTGGGGTTTTCAACTCCTAGAAGGGATGTATTAACTTCTCCTAACGGTTTTTAACACATTGTCCTACAAACAGGTGACGAGAAAATAGAAATGTATCAGCTTTAGGAAGTTATCTTGATAACTTATCTTCGTCAGAGCAAATGGACGTAGGGCTAACACTCGAAACGCCAGGTTTTAAACTCTTTACGGTGGCCAATTTACCTTATCAACTTAGTTGATGACACTTAATCACCCTGCTATACTCTCCCACCGACGCAGCACAACAGTTTCTTTGGAAACAGTTACCCCCTTTATTCATGAATACATACGCTTCAACAACACAGGTCACTAAGGCCGTTTATCAACCTCAAATGCATGCAAACATGTCCTGAATTATCCAACCTATGACTACCACAAATATCAACGACTGTTAGATACCATCTGGCAAAATGATTGATCGATAAGATCTGTGAATTCAGTATAGATTCTAATGTTCTGTGAGTGTTTTTCTTTTTACTAGATCAAGCTTTTCCACTAGAAGTCCCATAAAAGAAGTCTCAATAAAGGTACAGCTGTGATGATGAAATATAACTTTGTTTGCCACACTACAAAACAAAGCTAGATCTAAAGTAGCTTCGATTATCTACAACAACTGCTTATAAAAAATTTGTCTGTAAAGTCTTCTCTTGTACAATCAATTTGAAACAAGCCTTAAACCCAAAGTAATTCGGAAACAGAATGGAGATTCTTTAACATTTCTTTAGTCCACTAGAAGAGCAGGCCGTAAACTGCTTGAATGTGAATAATTGTCCAAAGTTCACTCAAAATCTACTCATGTCAACAATATTGCTGTTTTTCCGTAATGTACCATGAAATTGTTAGAAATGTCATGGACCTTTTCTATGTTCAGTTCTTTTCAGCTAAGGCCTTGCATCATTTACGCTGGCGTAATTTTTCCACAATTGCTTCACACTGCTCTTTCCATTTGTATTTCTCATCATAACGCGTCCGCAGATCGATAGCCTCCTGCAATCGCACATCCCTTGATTTTTCTTTTGCCTTGCTGATGGCTTCTTCCCATTTATGGGGTTCATCAGACTGCACCACAAAAGAGCTTCCACCTGAAAGTTCTTTGAGAACTTGGCCTAATCCACTGTTATCACTCACGAGGATTGGAAGGCCGGCTGAGAGGGCTTCGAGGGCTCCAAGACCGAACCCTTCTGTTCGCGAAGGCATAATGGCCAAATCTACCTGAAGGAAAAGTACGGCCAGCTCATCGCGGCTTTCGTAAAAGGTGCGCACTATCAGCTGGTTGCGGGGGATGCCATAATTAAACAATCTGTCTGCTACTTCTTCTTGCTCCCCATCTGCCGCGCCGACGAACACAAGGCGACAGCCGTCTTTCAAGGCTGCTATAGCCCGTGCGGCAACGTCGTAACCTTTGATTTCAAAATCTTCTTCGTTGCCGCGACCAAATAATAAGATAGAGAATATTTTCCCCTGTCTTTTGGCTTGCTTTAGGTTAGAGAACTCTGTAAAAATGCCTGGTGTGAAGTTAATCACATCTTCATCTCTCTGGTGCGCTTGGAGGCTTCGTTGGATAGAGTCAGTGAGTTTTGGTCCAATGCCCACGATGACATCAGCTGTTTGGCTCAGTTTTACCTCAATTTGGTGCTTTTTCTCACCAGCCCGAATCGAAGCTTTCTGCCCTTTCTTAAACATTGCAAGCTCTTCACTTGCTGTGTGCACTATATGAACCCGTTGGCATCGTCGCTGTCTCGCCACGGCAAAAGCTGACGGCCCCAGCTTCTGTCCATGACCCACTACAGCGTGAATTTCACAGCTGTCGGGTGGAAATGACAATGAGGAGATGGGGTCAAATCCGGGTATCTCTTCCACCTTGACAAGGTTCACGTTATGCTCTGAAGCTTCTTTCCTTTCCGCCTTAGTAAACCCTAGCACAACCAAGGTCACCGACACATCAGGCAGTTGAGCCAGCCCTTTGCACATCTCCCTGTTTAGAGTAGATAGTCCACCTTTCGATGAGCCCCACTCATCCGCCAAAGGGGAAATTTTTAAAACCTGTTGCACATGAAGATAGCGAGATTAACTCTTTAAATCCCAAGATCTCATAAGTAATTCTCCTTACTGTCTGCAAAATGATTCTCATTATGTTAGTTTGGAGAATTTGGTATCTGATCAAATGGTAATCCCATAATTGATATTTTTCTTCATTCTCATCACTTGTCTGCACGATGTTGTACGGATATAGTAGGGAGAAATTCAGTCCCGGTCACTCACGGGAGTTAAAGGGTTAAAATATTTTATTTTTTAATTAGAACGTGATAATTTAATATCAACTATTCACCGAAGCAGAGGTGGCTTGTGTTGGAAAATAACCGAACCGTGAAGCGGCGAGGTAAACATCCACCGCTAACCTCAACATGGAGTTGAATAGTTTTTTTAGTATATACTAATACAGTGAGATAATAGAGCACGAAAAGATGATTTTAATTCATTTATTCCTGTAGCAACTACAATATTTTCGGGTGCAAATTCCACCCGAGTTCCTCGGATGTGAATGGCAAAGGATATTCGAAGTTTGAGTCACTAACCAGAACGCGCACTCGACGCTATCCTCTGTTTTCGTATATTCCTATAAGGGTTGATTGATTTATAGTATGGGTGGCACTAGGCTTCGACAGATTAATTACGCTTAGCGCAAATATAACGAGAGCTTTTGACAGACTGTTATACGAGTAGCCATATAAATGATAATCCCAATGTCATGGCATAACTTGTACACAGGTGAATGAGCACTTCTACTAACACTGGTACACATGAGTTTTCAATGAGTAATAGCTTAAGTCTTCAATACCCTCAACATCATTACATACCTTTGACTCGCTAGACCCGGCAGAAGTCTCAATCATTTTCTTTAAATGGTCAAGCAAAGCCCTAGAAATTAACGAGAAAAGAACATAAACACAACATTACCTCAAGATATTTTATTGACCTCACGGTCAGAAGAAGATGAATACTTTATTGTTTACGTACATCGTCAGGCAGGATTTTAGATCAAAATTCCCATTCGCCATTTCGGTAAATCTAACTTTTATGTGTCTGTGTTGTTTCCTTTAAGCACACAGTGTTACTGATTAAAGCCGATTCTTTTATAGAGCAAGAGTAGAATATGTGCCAGTTTCTTTCTTTTTACATCCGCTGTTTTGATATTTCAATCTTCGTTGTTCTATGTGGTTCTCGGAAAGCGAGACAGATAAGAGTTGAAATCTAAAGGTTTTACCTAAGGTTGTTTAAAACAGTGCACCTTTTTTTGAACATGCTTGAAAATCATATATCTTTTTTGCTTTCAGAGATTTGAATATGAAAAGATTTGTTTCAGAAATTTAAGCCACGTGATACGGATCTAACACTGAACAATGAACTTGTTTCCGTTTAATTATTCAAGATTAAATGAAGCATTTTTTCCCAGAAATATAGCATGTAAACAATTTTAAACTTTCGGCTACTGCATCATATATTTACAAGAAATGGTTAGGGCGCCAAGATTAGTATCCGTCATGATCAGAATCGCTTTATGAATCCATTTGTTGTTCTGCTGTGCCTATCCATGGATCGAGTGGATCAAAATGTAGCTCCTATCTTAGTGGCATATAAGAGGTCATGTTTGCGCGTTCGCCGATGAAATTGAATTCAGACATATTGTATGTGTGATTATAATGTTATGTTTTCAAGACATATCGCAGAAGTGACTCTGCGTCGATTAAAAAAAAGGGAATTAGTATTACCAACTGAGTTGATAACTTAAATTGGTCACAGAAAAGAGTTTCAAAACTGACGTTTCGAATGTTAGCCCTTCGTCAGAGCGAAGATATAATGCTCTGACGAAGGGCCAGTGCTCGAAGCTTCAGCTTTGAAACTTCTTACGGTGGCCAATTTACGTTATCAACTCAGTTTATAATAATTAGCTACCCTTTTATACTCTACCACCGACGCAGCACCACAGTTTCTTTAGAAACTTACACCCTTTAAAATTTGATCGCCTTCGATTTCCCCATTTGGTCCTTCAGTATGCGAAGGATTAATACTGAAACTTAAGGTTGTTATACCTGATACACGAATTGCTCAAGGCGAGAGTTCACGTTGCTGATCATTGATAAGAGGGAAAACGAAAGAAGGAAAAGAACTTACGGATTCTCTTTCAATTCTTTAACGTCGTAGGCGTCCAGCTCAGAACAAGAATAAAACTCTTCTTCTGTAATGGTAGTTAGGCGTGAAGTACCACGTGACCTGGCAACGTCAAGATGTCAATAACTACAACAATAGCTATACACCCCAGGTGTGAATAGGGAAGGGGGAGAAGAGAGACCCTGGGAACGAGTTTTTCCTTATATACATTTTTAGATGTATTTATGCATACGTTTTCCACCAGATCGAAAAAAAGCTTCAAATGTAGTCATCAACGAATGGATAAACTATTTCTAAAGGCTTTGATACAATCAAATATCCTCCTTTATGCAAGCCAGATGATATGAAATGAAATCCAATTGGGGTAATATAGTAACCCCTTCACTCCTAGAAGTGATATAGTTAACTTCTCCCCACCGTTTCAACAAATTACTCAGCAAACAGGTGATGAGAAAATAAAAACCTATCAGCTTTAGGAAGTTATCTTGATAAAACACCAAATTGTCCGCACTAATTTTCAAACGTATATGTGTAGGGAGAGTTCAGCACTTATCAGGTATTAAGAGTATAAAAGGGCTAACTAGGAGGGCTCTATAAATATAGGCTTTGGCTGTGCAGAGTTTTCAGCTCGTCGACCAGTCATATTCGCCAAAAAACTCCTCGAGAATTCACTCACCGGCGACTGTTATGAATGTCAACATAGTTACTGATAGAGTCAAACGATCTTTCACAACAACAACAAGGGTGTTGTGTATATTTTTGTACTACATCCATTTTTTGGTTACTTCATCAATACTTCCCAAAATAATAAAGGGGAAAGTTTCTAAAGAAAGGTGGTGTTGCGTCGGTGGGAGAGTATAAAAGGGAAATTTAGTATTATCAACTGAGTTGATAACGTAAATTTGCCACCTTAACGAGTTTAAAAGCTAACGTTTCGAGCGTTAGCCCTTCGTCAGAGCAAATGGACGTAGGGCTAACGCTCGAAACGCCAGGTTTTAAACTCATTACGGTGGCCAATTTACGTTATCAACTCAGTTGATGACAAATTTCCCTGCTATACTCTCCCACCGACGCAGCACAACAGTTTCTTTAAAAACAGTTACCCCCTTTATTCATTAATACATACGCTTCTGCAGCACAGGTCACTCAGACCATTTATGAACCTCAAATGCATGCAAACATATCCTAAATTATCCAACTTATGACTGCCACAAATATAGACGACTGTTAGGTACCATCTGGCAAAATGATAGATTGATAATATCTGTGAATTCAGTATAGATTCTAGTGTTCTGTGAGTGTTTTTCTTTTTACCAGATCAAGCTTTTGTCCCATAAAAGAAGTCTCAATAAAGGTACAGCTGTTATAATGAAATAGAACATTATTTGCCGCACTACAAAACAAAGCTAGATCTAAAATAGCTTTGATTACCTACGACAACTGCATGTGAAAACTTTGTCTGTAAAGTCTTCTCTTTTGTACAATCACTTTAACCGAAATATAACAGAACGAAACAAGCCTTAAACCCAAAGTAATTCGGAAATAGGATGGAAATTCTTAAACATTTCTTTGGTCCACTGAAACAGCAGGCCTTAAACTGCTTGAGTGTGAATAATTGTCCGAAGTTCACTCAAAGTTTACTCATGTCAACAATATTGCTGTTTCCGTAATGTACCATGAAATTGTTAGAAATGTCATGGACCTTTTCTTTTCAGTTTAGGCCTTACATCATTTACGCTGGCGTAATTTTTTCACAATTGCCTCACACTGCTCTTGCCATTTGTATTTCTCATCATAACGCGTCCGCAGATCGATAGCCTCCTGCAATCGCACATCCCTTGGTTTTCTTCTCGCCTGTCTGATGGCTTCTTTCCATTTATCGGGGTCATCAGACTGCACCACAAAAGAACTTCCCATCGGAAGGTCGCTGAGAACTTCGCCTAATCCACTGTTATCACTCACGAGGATTGGGAGGCCGGCTGAAAGGGCTTCGAGGGCTCCGAGGCCAAATCCTTCTGTTCGCGAAGGCATAATGGCCAAATCTGCCTGAAGGAAAAGGTCGGCCAGCTCAAGGCGGCTTTCGTAAAAGGTGCGCACTTTCAGCTGTCTGCGGAGGATGCCACAATCAAGCAATCTCTTTGCTACTTCCTGTTCCTCCCCATCTGCCGCGCCGACGAACACGAGTTCACAGTCGTCTTCCAAGGCTGCTATAGCCCGTGCGGCAACGTCGTACCCTTTGACTTCAAAATCTTCTTCGTCACCGCGACCAAATAATAAGATAGAGAATCTTTTTCCCTGCCTTTTGGCTTGCTTTAGGTCAGAGAACTCCGTAAAAATACCTGGTATGAAGTTAATCACATCTTCATCTCTCTGGTACGGTTGGAGGCTTCGTTGGATGTAGTCAGTGAGTTTTGGTCCAATACCCACGATGACATCAGCCGGTCGGCTCAGTTTTACCTCAATTTGATGCTTTTCCTCACCAGCCCGAATCGGTGCTTTCTTCCCTTTCTTAAACATTGCAAGCTCTTCGCTTGCTGTGTGCACTATATGAACCCGTTGACATCGCCGCTGTTTCGCCACGGCAAAAGCTGGCGGCCCCAGCTTCTGTCCATGACCCACTACTGCGTCAATTTCACAGCTGTCAGGTGGAAATGACAATGAGGAGATGGGGTCAAATCCGGGTATCTCTTCCACCTTGACAAGGTTCACTTTAAATTTTGAAGCGTCATCCTTTTCCTTTTCAGTGTACTCCAGCACAACCAAGGTCACCGACACATCAGGCAGTTGAGCCAGCCCTTTGCACATCTCCCTGTTTAGAGTAGATAGTCCACCTTTCGATGAGCCCCACTCATCCGCCAAAGGGGAAATTTTTAAAACCTGTTGCACATGAAGATATCGAGATTAAAATATTTCTGTTTCTAATTAGAACGTGATAATTATCAACTATTCACCGAAGCAGAGGTGGCTTGTGGTGGAAAAGAACCGAGCCGTGAAGCGGCGAGGTAAATATCCACCGCTAGCCTCCAAAAAATACTAATACAGGGAGATAATAGTGCACGAAAAGATGATTTAAATTCATTTATTCCTGTAGCGACTATAATATTTTCGGGTGCGAATTCCGTCCGAGTTCCTCGGATGTGAATAGCAAAGGATGTTAGAAGTTTGAGTAGCCAACCAGAACGTGCATTCGACGCTATCCTCTGTTTTCGTACATTCCTATAAGGGTTGGTTGATTTATAGTATGGGTGGCACTAAACTTCGACAGATTAATTACGCTTAGCGCAAATATGACGAGAGTTTTTGACAGACTGTTATACGGTTAGCTATATAAATGATAGTTCCACTGTCATGGCTTAGCTTGTACACAGATGAATGAGCACTTCTATGACACTGATACGAATGAGTTTTCAATGAGTAATAGTTTAAGTCTTCTATACCCTTAACATGATTACATACCTGTGGCTCGCTGATCCCGCCCGAAATCTCATTCATTTTCCTTAAGTGGTCAAGCCCTAGAAATTAAAAAGCAAATACATAAGCACAACACTATCTCAAGGTATATTTTTGACCTCACGGTCAGGAGAAGATGAATACTGAATTGTTTACATACATCGTCAGGCAGGATTTTAGACTAAAATTCCCATCCGCCCTTTAGGTAAATGTGACTTTCATTTGTCTGTGTTGTCTTTTTTTTAAGCACACATTGTCATTGATTAAAGCCGATTCTATTAAAGAGCAAGTGTATAATAAGTGCCGGTCGCAAAGCCCTACATGAGTACGACTTTGTTTCGCTGTTTTAATATTTCAATCTTCGTTGTTCTAAGTGGTTCTCGGAAAGCGAGACAATTAAAAAAATGAAATTTAAAGGTTTTACCTCAAACTGTTTAAAATACAGATTTGAATATTAAAAGATTTGTTTCAGAAATTTAAGCCACGCGTGACGGATCTAACTGAACAGTGACCTTATTTCCGTTTTATTATTCAAGATTACATGAAGCATTTTTTCTCAGAAATATAGCATGTAAACAATTTCAAACTTTTGGCTACTGCATCATATATTTATAAGAAATGGCTAAGGCGCCGAGATTAGGATACATCATGATCAGAATCGCTTTATGAATCCATTTGTTGGTTTTCTGTGCCATGGGGAATGAGTGGATCAAAATATAACTCCTGTCTTAGTGGCACATAGGAGGTCATGTCTGCGCGTTCGCCGATGAAATTGAATTCAGACCTATTGCATATGTGATTATAATGTTATGTTTTCAAGACATATCGTAAAAGTGACTCTTCGTCCGTTAAAAAATTGTAATTTAGTATTATTAACTGAGTTGATAACGTAAATTGGCCACAGTAAAGAGTATCAAAGCTGACGTTTCGAGCGTCAGCCCTTCGTCGGAGCAAAGAGATAACGTTCTGACGAAGGGCCAGCGCTCGAAGCTTCAGCTTTAAAACTCTTTACGGCGGTCAATTTGCGTTATCAACTCAGTTCATAATACTAAATTACCCTTTAATACTCTCCCACCGTCGCAGCACCACCGTTTCTTTACAAACTTACTGCCTGTAAAATTTTGATCGACTTCGATTTCCCCATTTGGTCCTTTAGTATGCGAAGGATTAATACGGAAACTTAAGGTTGTTATACCTGATACACGAATTGCTCTAGGCGAGAGTTTACGTTGCTGATCATTGATAAGAGGGAAAACGAAAGAAGGAAAAGAACTTACGGATTCTCTTTCAATTCTTTAACGTCGTAGGCGTCCAGCTTAGAACAAGAATAAAACTCTTCTTCTGTAATGTTAGTTAGGAGTCAGGTACCGCGTGACCTGGCAACGTCAAGATGTCAATAACTACACTATGCACCCCAGGTGTGGGTAGGGAGGGGGGAGAAGAGAGACCCTGGGAACGAGTTTGGATGTGCATACGTTTTCCACCTGATGGATAAAAAGCTTCAATTGTAGTCATCAATGAATGGATAAACTATTTCTAAAGGCTTTAATACAATCAAATATCCTCCTTTATGCAAGCTAGATGATATAAAATGAAATCCAATTGGGGTAATATAGTAACCCTTTCACTCCTAGAAGTGATATAGTTAACTTCTCCTCACCGTTTCAACAAATTACTCAGAAAACAGGTGATGAGAAAATAACAACGTATCAGCTTTAGGAAGTTATCTGGATAAAACACCAAATTGTCCACACTAATTTTCAAACATATATGTATAGCAGCTGGTAGGGAGAGTTTAGCACTAATCAGATTGTGGGAGAAAAAGGGCTAACTATAACAGCTATATAAACATAGGCTTTGGCTGTGCAGGGTTTTCAGTTCGTTGACCAGTCAAAAGACTCCTCGAGAATTAATTCACTGGCGACTGTTATAAATGTCGACAACAGCAGCTACTGATAGAGGTAAACAATCTTTCACAAGAACAACTAGGTTGTATTGTATATTTTTGGTTACTTCATCAATACCTCCCAAAATTATAGAGGGGGAAAGTTTCCAAAGAAACGGTGGTGCTGCGTCGGTCGGAGAGTATAAAAGGGTAATTTAGTGTTATTAACTGAGTTAATAACGTAAATTGGCCACCATAAAGATTTTCAAAGCTGACGTTTCGAGCGTTAGCCCTTTGTCATTCGCTCGAAAGCTCGAAACGTCAGCTCTAAAACTCTTTACGGTGGCCAATTTACGTTATCAACTCAGTTAATAATACTAAATTGCCCTCCCAAAAGAAGTTAATTAAATGAGCTCCAGTAGACTTAAGGCTGTCATAATGTAAAGATTTTTATCAGACACACTGTAAAGGTAACACAACAATTGCTCTGAAAACCTTCAACTCTTTCTAGCTAAAATGTTGACTGGAATGGCTCCTTTCTCCAACAGATTTGACTGAAATATATCAAAATGGATCTAAACTAAACATCAAAATTGTTTCTGAAGTTATAACACTTAAACCGAAAACAGAAAGATGTAGATTTTCATCTATTTCTACGGTCCATTGAAGAAGCCTTCTAACAATTGTTTAAAGAAAAGTTTCAAGCAGTACTAATGACAAAGTTGGTTTCCCTTGATATATGAAGAAACGCTCCAAAATGTTATGAACTTTCGTAATGTTAAGTGTTTTTAGTTCAGTACTCAGTAGATCATTTACACTAGCGTAGTTTATCCGCAAGTGTTTCGCACTGCTCCAGCCATTTGTACTTCCGGTCATAGTAATACCGAAGAGCCTTAGCTTCCTCCAGGCGTACGTCCCTTGATTTCTTTCTGGCCCGCTTGATGGCTCTTCCCCATTCATCGGGTTCGTCGGATTCCACCACAAAAGACATACCAAAGGGAATCTTTTCCAGAGCTTGTCCAAATCCACTGTTATCACTCACCAGGATTGGAAGCCCGGCAGAGAGGGCTTCGAGAGCTGCAAGGCCGAACCCTTCTGTTCGTGATGGCATTATGGCCAGATCAGCTTCACAGAAGAGGTCGGCCAGACTTTCACGGCTTTCTCGATAACTGCGCACTGTCAGCTGCCTAGGGGAGATTTCACATTTAAGTAAGCTCTCTTTTACTTGCTCTTGCTTTCCTTCTGGTGCACCAACGAACACAAGATGATAAGAATGGTCGTTTAAGCCTGCTATAGCGCGAGCGGCAATGTCGTAGCCTTTCAGTTCAAAATCTTCCTCGTTACCACGACCAAATACCAATGTGCGAAACTTCTCTCTTTCTTCAGGGGCTTGCTCTAGTTCGGAGAACTCTGGAAAAATGCCTGGCGTAAGGTTTATCACGTCTTTTTCCTTCTTGTGTGGTCGAAGGCTGCTTTTAATGGACTCAGTAAGTTTTGGTCCTATACCCACAATAACATCAGCAGTCTTGCTCAGGTCTACCTCGAGTTTGTGCTTCTTTTCGCCTTCCGGGATCGTCTCCTGCTGACGTTTCTTGTACATTGCGAGTTCTTCACTTGCGGTGTGCACAACGTGCACTCGTTTGCATCCCCGATTCTTTGCTACGACTTGTGCTGGCGGTCCAAACTTGTGTCCATGACCCATTACCACGTCGAATTTACATTCTTTGGGTGGAAAAGCTAATGACTGGATAGGAGTAAAACCAGTCATTGTTTCGACCTTGGTAAGGTTGACTTTACATTTTGAAGCGTCTTCCTTTTCCTCTTCAGTGTACTCTGGCACAACCAAGGTCACCGATACATCAGGCAGTTGAGCCAACCCTTTGCACATCTCCCTGTTTAGAGTAGATAGTCCACCTTTCGATGAGCCCCACTCATCCGCCAAAGGGGAAATTCTTAAAACCTGTTGCACATGAAGATAGCGAGATTAACTCTTTAAATCCCAAGATCTCATAAGTAATTCTCCTTACTGTCTACCAAACGATTCTCATTATGTTACTTTGGAGAATTTGGTATCTGATCAATAAGTAATCCCATAATCGATATTTTTCTTCATTCTCATCACTTGTCTGCATAATATTGTATGTATATAGTAGGGAGAAATTCAGTCTCGGTCACTCACGGGAGTTAAAGGGTTAAAATATTTTATTTTTTAATTAGAACGTGATAATTATCAACTATTCACCAAAGCAGAGGTGACTTTGTGGTGGAAAATAACCGAGCCGTGAAGCGGCGAGGTAAATATCCACCGCTAACCTCAACATAGAGTTGAATAGTTGTCTTGGTATATACTAATACAGTGAGATAATAGAGCACGAGAAGATGATTTTAATTCATTTATTCCTGCAGCGACTACAATATTTTCGGGTGCGAATTCCGCCCGAGTTCCTCGGATGTGAATAGCAAAGGATGTTCGAAGTTTGAGTAGCCAACCAGAACGCGCATTCGACGCTATCCTCTGTTTTCGTACATTCCTATAACGGTTGGTTAATTTATAGTATGGGTGGCACTAAGCTTCGACAGATTAATCGCACTTAGCGCAAATATGACGAGAGTTTTTGACAGACTGTTATACGATTAGCTATATAAATGATAATCCCACTGTCATGGCATAGCTTGCACACAGATGAATGAGCACTTCTATGACACTGATACACATGAGTTTTCAATGAGTAATAGCTTAAGTCTTCAATACCCTTATCGTGATTAATATACCTTTGACTCGCTGGTCCCGGCAGAAGTCTCAGTCATTTTCTTTAAATGGTCAAGCAAAGCCCTAGAAGTTAACGAGAAAAAAAACATAAACACAACATTACCTCAAGATATTTTGTTGACCTCACGGTCAGAAGAAGATGAATACTTAATTGTTTACTTACATCGTCAGGCGGGATTTTAGATCAAAATTCCCATCCGCTATTTTGGTTAATGTAACTTTCATGTGTCTGTGTTGTTTCCTTTAAACACACAGTGTAACTGATTAAAGCCGATTCTTTTATAGAGCAAGTGTAGAACAAGTGCCAGTCGCAAAGCACTGCATGAGTACGTCTTTATTTCGCTGTTTAACATCCGCCGCTTTGATATTTGAATCTTCGTTGTTCTATATAGTTCTCGGAAAGCGAGACAAATAGGAGATGAAATTTAAAGGTTTTATTTAAAGTTGTTTAAAACAGTGCACCTGTTTTTTGAACATGCTTCAAAATCTTACATCTTTTTCGCTTTCAGAGATTTAAATATTTAAAAATTTGTTTCAGAGATTTAAGCCACGCGTGACGGATCTAACTCTGAACAGTGACCTTATTTCCGTTTTATTATTCAAGATTAAATGAAGCATTTTTTCTCAGAAATATAGCATGTAAACAATTTCAAACTTTTGGCTACTGCATTATATATTTACAAGAAATGGCTAAGGTGCAAAGATTAGGATACATCATGATCAGAATCGCTTTATGAATCCATTTGTTGGTCTTCTGTGCCATAGAATGAGTGGATCAAAATATAGCTCCTGTCCTAGTGGCACATAAGAGGTCATGTTTGCGCGTTCGCCGATGAAATTGAATTCAGACCTATTGCATATGTGATTATAATGTTATGTTTTCAAGATATATCGTAGAAGTGACTCTTCTTCCATTAAAAAATTGTAATTTAGTTTTGTCAACTGAGTTGATAACGTAAATTGGCCACCGTTAAGAGTTTCAAAGCTGAAGTTTCGAGCGTTAGCCCTTCGTCAGAGCGAAGAGATAACGCTCTGACGAAGGGCCAGCGCTCGAAGCTTCAGCTTTGAAACTCTTTACGGTGGCCAATTTACGTTATAAACTCAGTTCATAATACAAGATTACCTTTTAATACTCTCCCACCGTCGCAGCACCACCGTTTCTTTAGAAACTTACACCCTTTAAAATTTTGATCGACTTCGATTTCCCCATTTGGTCCTTTAGTATGCGAAGGATCAGTACAAAAACTTAAGGCTGTTATGCCTGATGCACGAATTGTTCTAGGCGAGAGTTTACGTCGCTGATCATTGATAAGAGGAAAAACGAAAGAAGGAAAAGAACTTACGGATTCTCTTTCAATTCTTCAACGTCGTAGGCGTCCAGCTCAGAACAAGAATAAAACTCTTCTTCTGTAATGTTAGTTAAGCGTCAAGTACCACGTGACCTGGCAACGTCAAGGTGTAACTACAACAATAGCTATGCACCCCAGGTGTGGGTGGGGAGGGGGGAGAAGAGAGACCCTGGGAACGAGTTTGGATGATATATACTTCTTTGGGTGTATTTATGCATATGTTTTCCACCTGATGGATAAAAAGCTTCAATTGTAGTCATCAATGAATGGATAAACTATTTGTAAAGGCTTTAATACAATCAAATATCCTCCTTTATGCAAGCTAGATGATATAAAATGAAATCCAATTGGGGTAATATAGTAACCCTTTCACTCCTAGAAGTGACTGAAGTGAAGTTAACTTCTCCTCACCGTTTCAACAAATTACTCAGCAAACAGGTGATGAGAAAATAAAAACGCATCAGCTTTAGGAAGTTATCTGGATAAAACACCAAATTGTCCACACTAATTTTCAAACATATATGTATAGCAGCTGGTAGGGAGAGTTTAGCACTAATCAGATTGTGGGAGAAAAAGGGCTAACTATAACAGCTATATATACATAGGCTTTGGCTGTGCAGGGTTTTCAGTTCGTTGACCAGTCAAAAGACTCCTCGAGAATTAATTCACTGGCGACTGTTATAAATGTCGACAACAGTAGCTACTGATAGAGGTAAACAATCTTTCACAAGAACAACTAGGTTGTATTGTATATTTTTGGTTACTTCATCAATACCTCCAAAATAATAGAGGGGGAAAGTTTCCAAAGAAACGGTGGTGCTGCGTCGGTCGGAGAGTATAAAAGGGTAATTTAGTGTTATTAACTGAGTTAATAACGTAAATTGGCCACCATAAAGATTTTCAAAGCTGACGTTTCGAGCGTTAGCCCTTTGTCATTCTCTCGAAAGCTCGAAACGTCAGCTCTTTACGGTGGCCAATTTACGTTATCAACTCAGTTAATAATACTAAATTGCCCTCCCAAAAGAAGTAAATTAAATGTGCTCCAATAGACTTAAGGCTGTCATAATGTAAAGAATTTTATCTGACACACTGTAAAGGTAAACACAACAATTGCTCTGAAAACCTTCAACTGTTACTAGCAAAAATGTTGACTGGAATGGCTCCTTTCTTCAACAGATTTGACTGAAATATATCAAAATGGATCTAAACTAAAAATCAAATTGTTTCTGAAGTTATAACACTTAAACCGAAAACAGAAAGATGAAGATTTTCATCTATTTCTACTGTCTATTGAAGAAGCCTTCTAACAATTATTTGAACAAAAGTTTCAAGCAGTACTAATGACAAAGTTGGTTTGAAACACTGAAACTGCTTGATATATGAAGAATTGTCCAAAATGTTATGAACTGCTTTCGTAATGTTAATGTTTTTAGTTCAGTTCTCAGTAGATCATTTACACTAGCGTAGTTTATCCACAAGTGTTTGGCACTGCTCTTGCCATTTGTATTTCTCATCATAACGCGTCCGCAGATCGATAGCGTCCTGCAATCGCACATCCCTTGGTTTTCTTCTCGCCTGTCTGATGGCTTCTTTCCATCTATCGGGGTCATCAGACTGCACCACAAAAGAGCTTCCATTTGGAATGTCGCTGAGAACTTCGCCTAATCCACTGTTATAACTCACGAGGATTGGGAGGCCGGCTGAAAGGGCTTCGAGGGCTCCAAGGCCGAACCCTTCTGTTCGCGAAGGCATAATGGCCAAATCTGCCTGAAGGAAAAGGTCGGCCAGCTCAAGGCGGCTTTCGTAAAAGGTGCACACTGTCAGCTGTCTGCGGAGGATACCATAATCAAGCAATCTCTCTGCTACTTTTTGTTGCTCCCCATCTGCCGCGCCGACGAACACAAGGCGATAGTCGTCTTCCAAGGCTGCTATAGCCCGTGCGGCAACGTCGTAACCTTTGATTTCAAAATCTTCTTCGTTGCCGCGACCAAATAATAAGATAGAGAATATTTTTCCCTGTCTTTTGGCTTGCTTTAGGTCAGAGAACTCTGTAAAAATGCCTGGTGTGAAGTTAATCACATCTTCATCTCTCTGGTGCGCTAGGAGGCTTCGTTGGATAGAGTCAGTGAGTTTTGGTCCAATGCCCACGATGACATCAGCCGTTTGGCTCAGTTTTACCTCAATTTGGTGCTTTTTCTCACCATCCCGAATCGAAGCTTTCTGCTCTTTCTTAAACATTGTAAGCTCTTCACTTCCTGTGTGCACTATATGAACCCGTTGGCATCCCCGATTCTTTGCTACGAATTGTGCTGGCGGTCCAAACTTGTGTCCATAACCCATTACCGCGTTGAATTTACATTCCTTTGGTGGAAAAGCTAATGAATGGACAGGACTAACACCAGGCATTGTTTCGACCTTGGTAAGGTTAACTTTATATTTTGAAGCTTCTTTCTTTTCCTCTTCAGTGTACTCTGGCACAAGCAAGTTCACCGATACATTACGCAGTTGAGCCAGCCCTTTGCACATCTCTCTGTTTAGAGTAGATAGTCCACCTTTCGATGAGCCCCACTCATCCGCCAAAGGGGAAATTCTTAAAGCCTGTTACAAATGAAAACGATGGGATGAAAAGAATTTCATTCTTTGTTCAAAATAAGAATGTAAGAATATGAAAAATTGACAATCCTTTTCCTCCTTTTGAGTAATGGGGCCAAAGAATTTGAAAGTAGCTTCTACAAATTGTCACTGATGGGTAGAAAGTCTTTGCTCGTTGAAAATTTTCCCCTTACCGTCCTTGCGAGTTCGCCCCTTGAAGTGAAGCGAGTTCGCACCTAACTTAACCAGTTCGCCCCCAAATATTTCAACTAGTTTCCTAAAGGCAGAACATATTCTTATTTTTTTGAAATCATAAAATATTTCAAACAACACGCAAATAGTTTTCTGAGGGAAGCACTTGAGTACGAAAGTATGGTAAGTCGCTATGAAACGCTGGGTCCGACGAAACGCGAGTGCGAGTATCAAACTACGAAATACATACGTTGGTCATTACAGGAGTTTTCACTGGGTAATAACTTAAGTCTTCAATACCCTTAACATAATCATATACCTGTGGCTCGCTGGTCCCGGCCGAAATCTCAGTCATTTTCCTTAAACAGTCAGGCAAAGCCCTAGAAATTAAAAAGAAAATACATAAACACAACATTACCTCAAGCTTTTTTATTGACCTCACGGTCAGAAGAAGATGAATACTGAATTGTTTACATACATCGTCAGGCAGGATTTTAAATTAAAATTCCCATCTGCCCTTTAAGTAAATGTGTTTTTTATATGAACACAATGTTAATGATTAAAGCCGATTCTTTAACAGAGCAAGTGGTATAATAAGTGCCAGTCGCAAAGCCCTGCATGAGTACGACTTTGCTTCGTTGTTTTTACTTCCGCTGTTTTAATATTACGATCTTCGTTATTCTGTGGTTCTCGGAAAGCGAGACAAATGGATGAAATTTAAGGGTTTTACCTAAAGTTGTTTAAAATAGTGCACCTGATTTTTGAAAATGCTTGAAAATCTGACATCTCTTTCGCTTTCAGAGATTTAAATATGAAAAGATTTGTTTCAGAAGTTTAAGCCACGCGTGACGGATCTAACCCTGAACAGTGACCTTGTTTCCGTTTTATTATTCAAGATTATATGGAGCATGAAATATAGCGTGTAAATAATTTCAAACTTTTGGCTACTGCGTCATATATGTACAAGAAATGGTTAAAGCGCCAAGATTGGTATACTTCACGATCAGAATCGCTTTATGAATCTAGTTGTTGTTCTTCTCTACCTATCCATGAATCAAGTGGATCAAAATATAGCTCCTATCTTAGTGGCACATAGGAGGTCACGTTTGCGCGTTCGCCGATGAAATTGAATTCAGACACATTGTATATGTGATTATACTGCTATGTCAGGATAAATCGTACGGTAGGAACAGGGAAGAAACGAGAAGTGACTCATCGTTCATAGAAAATTTGTAGTTTAGTATTATCAAATGAAACGATAGCTTACGGCCACCGTAAAGAGTTTCAAAGCTTTCGTTTCTAACGCTCTGACGAAGGGCTAACACTCGAATCGTCAGTTTTGAAACTCTTTACGGTGGCCAATTTACGTTATCAACTCAGCTGATAGTACTAAAACACCCTGTTTCTTCTCCCACCGACGCAGCACCACGGTTTCTTAAGAAACTAACTCCCTTTAATATTTTGATCGACTTCGCTTTCCCCATTAGGTCTTTCCGTACGCGAAGAATCAATACAGAAACTTAAGGCTGTTTTTCCTAATGTACGAATCGCTCTGGGGAAGATTCAAGTTGCTGATCATTGATAAGAGGAAAAACGAAAGAAGGAAAAGAACTTACGGACTTTCTTTCGAATTCTTTAACGTCGTAGGCGTCCAGCTCAGAGAAAGAATGAAACTCTTCTTCTGTAATGGTGCGGACAAGGCGTCAAGTACCACGTGACCTGGCGACATCAAGATGTTTCGTGTAGATAGCTACAACAATAGCTATACGCCCTAGATGGGGGTGAGGAAGGGGAAGAAGAGAGACCCTGGGAACGAGATTGGAACATATTTACTTGTTCATCAATGTTTAGGTGTATTCGTTATTATAAACCAGACTTGTAACGCGACAAAGGCGGATGCAAAAGGATTTCAGAATGTAAGTTTGTTTACACACTTAAATTCAAACCACCAATTGGCTGAAATTGGGAAGAAAATATCTTTGAGTCTGAGTTGATACCTGACCTCAAGTTATGTCTGGCTGGTCTTGAGTTCAGCTAAAAACTAAGGTTACGAGTTTAAGGCAGCCAGTAGTCTAGCCTGGTCGTAATTTGCTTTGCTTCTGAGACACGTGCGCGTGCCATGGCTGGATCGCTTCTTCACTATCCGAGTGAGACTGGGGAAAAGTGAACTGATTCAAAATGGCGAACAGAAATCGTATCGATGATGTAAACGAGCATGGTGGATTAAATACTGATTGCTTTCCAGATTGCCAGATTTTTTCTGGTGTAGCTGCTATGTTTCTCTCTCCTTTATATTCCTTTTTTTAAATTTGTTTTTCAATGTTGCAAACGCTTACTGGAGGAGCTACTACGCTTTCTGTACAGAGCTCATGTTTGGCTGAAATGGGCAAGACAAATAGTAACACACAACTTTCAAGATGGATAATAAATTATTTAAGTAAACAATACACAGCACGGCAAACAACTTAGAAACATCATGAGTTTGAAATGACCACAAACAAAATTCATCGATTAATTTTTGAGAAACAAAGCACCAATAAGACAAAAACAGAACAGAAAAAAGCGACTTTTCAGGAATCTGAGAGCTCGTGTGAAAGAAGGGACGCAAGAGCTAAGCATATTATTAACTTTTTCGGTGCATTTCTTCTTTAATGTAATCTAAGGCAATAAATATTTACAACCCTGTGCCATTGTAATACATATTTAGTTTGGCAATAAATTTACTATACCTTTCATTTAAATAATCACTTTTATATCTTCATACTTTCTTTAAAAATTTACAGCATGGATTTGAAACTTCAATATGAATAATTATTACACTATGAAAAAATTAAATAAATAAATAAAACCGGATGAACAAAGAAACCTTAACTCTAAACAAAAATTGGATTGTCCTTAACTGAAAACTGAACTCTCCTGATCCGTATTAAAGTAAATAATAAAATTAAAGAAAATAACAACAACACTTGTAAGGCCTTGTCCACACTAGTAACATAAAGACATTCAAGACGTAAGCTTCACGACATAGAAAGCTCATCATGTTGTTATGTTTTCAGTGTGAACGTTCAGACATAGCGCCATATTGGCACCATCGTGACATTGACAAAGCTAAGCAAGCATGGTTCACACCAACGAAATAACATAAACGGGACGTACCAACATATAAATAACGACGCACAGGGAAATAAGCATCATATGCTATTATGTCGCAAGTGTGAACCAGGCGTAACTGCTGTGTTTAATTTCTTGAAAAGTCTGATAAAAAACCTAAGTGTTTGAAAGGCTAATTTCTTTATTCGTTTAGAATGCTATCACTCTTCATCGTGATAGGAAATGTTACTGTGGGAAAAAACAAAACAAAAAATACAACAATCGCGAAAAGAGATTTACATTGTAATTTGTTCTTTCGGTGGTGAAATGCTTGATGAATTTGAAAGAAAGAAAAAATATTTTTTGGAGCAAGGATAGAATTTTCTATACCTTCTATGATAAAATCTCACAGTTAAATTAATCACATTAATCCTAAGCTAGTCACAAGTAAATTCTCCTTAGAGCAAAAATACACCAAAAAGTGACGAGAAAAGAAAACCTATCCAGCTCGAGGGTTTTTGCGTAGATTCAACAATAAATTCTCCTGCCGAATTTGCGAGAAAATATACAGCAGCTAGACGGGAGAATAACTAATAAGACCGCGAAAATTTCAAGGGGAAAGTCAATGAAGGTGTGCGTCCCGTAAACTGTATAACAAAACTATAAGAAATTTACAAAGTCGAAGGCACATAAACAAGTGCTTCACTGAATTTTCATGTTTGATTTAAGACTGTACAAGCCACTCATAAATAAACCTAGAGAATTGTATGATCACCAATTCATTCGCTTCCCAGTAAAATGTGAGAAAATTTCGTTGCGAGACCAGCGCCACCTAGGAAATGGCCGTGCTTCCATTTGAGGCGATTTCTTAGTTTGTACGTCATGTAAGCCCGAATGGATCGTCTTCATCTTCATAAGATATCTCAGAATTGTTTCCTTGCTTCAAATCTGATTGTGCAAGGTCATAGACCTCCGGGGCCAAAAGCGAACATCACTCCTCGGTCCCTACCTATAACTGCTCCAATGCTGGCTGAGAGGTCCTGTAATGCTTAGCCATTCTTGCTCTTAAAGCTTGTTGAGACGTAAGATCTGGTGTTCTTCGTATAATGTTCGCATGCCTGGAAAGCAGCAAGAACATATTAAAAAAAAAAAAAAACCTTCACCAATATCGAGTACTATTCGTGCTACTTTGGTAAGGAGCCCTACAATTCAGACCTACACGTGTAAAATGTGCCTATCAAAGACCTTAACCAGTGCAGACGTTTTTGCGACGCAGAAGGTGACAAGGATGCAGATGTAACTGCGTTTGTTGCACTTTCACATCAAACAATCAACAGGGATGCCCTTGTTACAGCATCTTTAATGAAGCGGTTAACAAAACAGATCTATCTCAACAAAGGTCGAGCAGATGAACTCCTTAACTCAGTCCTGTTTTAAAAACGATTGCGATCAAGCACCTTATTGAAAATAAAAAAAATAGTAATAGTCTATTTGGAGGGTTGCACAGTCCAAGAATCATTTAAACGCAAGCAGCAGACCTGTTTCCAAAGTTATTTATTATCGATATCTCAGGAAATCACGAAGAAAAAGGCCAGGGGTGTCACTATTACGAACACGCTTTACTTCGATTTGATTGAATTTCCTTTTGCTACACGCTATTTCCAGGAATTTAGCTACATTTCTTCACTTACCTCAATTCAGAATCTTGAAGTGTTGTCCCTTGAGACACATTTGAAGCAACGCCTGCAACTTTAGCGTCAGCGGCAAACTGATACACAATAAGCAAGCAGTCTCGACAAAGCTGGACAATTCGACGACAGCAGCTCATCTCAGTCTGGAAGTAGACCAGAACAAATCGATAAACAAGTCGATAAACAGTCGTCTCTTTCCCATCTTCGAGAATTACCCGAGCTCAAAAAAGTTGTTATGAAACATTACAGTAAACAGCCTCCTCAGGTTACTTCCTTTGCGTAACTTTCTTTGCCATCAAAATTACTAGAATTCTTTCTCGTTATCATACCTACAGCACCTCATACAAACCTGTGTTTGGAACAAAAACTCAAACTAAATCTCATCTTTTTCTCCCTGATAGAACGATAAACTATTCCCAACTGGGGGTAAAGTTTTCTAATTACAAAAATTCAAATATTAAAGTTATATTCAAATAAGTTACGAATGATTTCAATACTTATACATGAAATTCTTTCAATCTACACACCGAAGATAGCACCTCTGTACTCTTGCTAAAAATTGTCTCCCAAGAGTTTCTACAAATGACAACAAAATAACAAAATTAAAAGCGTGATTACGCAAAATAAAATCCTGACAGTAGGTATGACACTGATGATAAACTAATGCAAGACAAACGTACCCCAAGTTTGAAAAGCAGTTCCACAATCCCTGTCCATGACTCCACAACAATCTGTTAAATACTCTAGAGAAAACGCGGCAGAGGCGCAAGTTATCAACTTCAGATGCTCGCCAGACACGCTGTAAGATTGCGCGAACGTTTGTTCGCACAATGTCCACAACCTGTTACAGAAACACAATGACAAAGACAAGATAATTCTCAATTAGATAATGAGTTTGAGATTTATGTCGCGTGACAGTCTATGTTGACAAAGCCCGAATCAACCTTCACGCAGGGGAATCGAGAAAGAACAATCTAAGTTTTTGTTGTGCCTACTGTGCCTTCCCTCTATGTACGAAGTATTGAAATAAATTTGATTCACATTTCATACATGTACCAATTACATCGATTTCCTACTCTGTCCCCTGCCTGTCAATTGGCCAGTGTGCAAACTCTGTTCTGATCAAGTCCCCCTTTCGCCACAACTTCGGCATCAACAAGAGCTGTTAATTAAACCCTCTGCATGTTACAGTACATTGTCTTTTGACTGCAGTACTCTACAACTACACAACAGTAGGCACATGCAGTCTTACACTGCCTTTTAGTATAGTTTGTTTACAAACGCACGTTGACAGGCTACAGTCACGTTGATAGGCTACTGTTACAGAATAGATGGCGAGTAGCGAGGCCAATCAGAATGCAGCGTTTGTAATGGGACACTTGCTGATTTGTACCCTACGCTTTTGTTAACCATGGAGTAAAGCGGCCCGAAAGAGCGCTCGCAGACTAGGTAACAGGCCTCTTAGCTCCTTACCTTTCTCCGCTTTATCGAGTCGAGCTTCACCAACCAATAGGAAGCCACTCTCGGCTTGTGGAATTTCCAATTATCCTGGATCTAAAAAAATTACGTAGAATGTTATTGGTCGACTGAGCACGGAGTTGTGCTGCGGTGGTCACTAGAGATGTTGCTACGTAACACACACATTCTAATGAATCCTGTGATGACGATCAACCACGAATTCTGTTCAGACAGGTTAAATAGAGGGAAATAGCAACAGTCTTTCATGGCGAATAATCTAATACTCGGATACATAAGTTCACCACTTACACTTTCTAAAATGACTTCTGCTTCCTCGTCTGTTTTTCCTGGAAATTTAATCCTCATGTCAAGCAAAGCCTGCAGTGTTCGCCGGCATAATTCTTCTTCTCTCTCCCGGACAGCGGCATCCAAAAAAGCAGCGTCCTAAGCAAAAGGAGTGATTATGTATTTTATTATATATGAATAACACATTAGCCTCCCCAACCAAACCTTGGCGAACCACGAGACAAAAACCAAATACTCGTGTTAAAGTAAAAATCCCAGCTCAGGCCAATAAGAGACAAATGTGGACACTCACCACCACGGGATTGAATTTCATTGGAGGAGATGAAGACGACGTCACGATTCTATGCGCGGAGGAGCGTGGTAATATCAGGCCGTTATTGGCCGAGTTTGGCGCCTTTTGGGCAGAAACGGGTCTGAACGATGATGACGTCGAGGTCTGTTGTGGGTTTGAAGAAACTGAAGAGGACGAAGTTGAAGAGTCCTCTTTGTTTGTGATGGATTTAGCACTTGGCATGGATGACAAGGGCTAAATGTAGAAATAAATGATAGATATAGAGATGAACAAGCTTTCTTGCCTAATACATAATAAAGAGGGGGCGACAAGCAAGTTTGTAAATCCTACATACTGGCAAAGGACTTAAAAAGTGGTTAGATTTTGTACGTTTGAATTGCAGGTTAACTTGCGTTCATCCAAAGAAGAAGATGAAGGGCATGAACTTAGGAAGAAGGAGAAAGACGACTGCATGGGAGCTATGGAGGCTCAAACACCTCGCGGAGAAGGACGATTTGAAAAAAAAGTAGAAAGGAAGGAAGGGTGAACCACAATGACTGAAGCCAGGAGCACAGCACTAGACAGGGTTGGCTTGGAAAGGAGCTAACATCCTTAGTGAGGAAGGAACTTAGTGCTAAGTAAATAACTCATTTCTACTACCTTTGGTCCTTTGCTCATCGGACGGTTGCCAGATTTGTCGAATGTTATGTTTTCATCACATTCACACTGCTCTAATAAATCGAGGATTTCTTCTTCCTGCAAGTCATTAAGTTATGTAGCGTTATTCAAACAGCGATGGTACCATGACCGGCCTTTTTTGAATTGTCAAAATAAACTTCAAATTGACCGACGTCTTTAAATTATTATATGCATGATGTAACCCCATTATAAAGATCATCCTGTCATGACGAAGACATTAGAGTTTCTTGGGAAAAAAAAAAAAAGCCTAGTGATTTTCGCAGTAATAACCTCAGTAAACGGACCAAGTTGTTAATCGACGTTAACCAGCTGTAGTGGTATAACAGGATACCATTTTCGTAAAACAGACATAAAAAATCTCCGCTGATCTCGAAAACAGGTCGTGCTCACTCCACAAATTTTGCATTCGAGATCGAAGGAGAAGCCCAGCTAAAATTAATTAATATTACAGGAATACACTGACCAACAACTGCCTCACACCTACCCTGAGGGTGCTGAATGGTTGATTACCGTCCTTTTGAAGAGATACAGCTCTACCTAGATGTAAAATCACTCAATTAGAAAAACAAATCAAATAAAAGAGTTATAAACATTAACTTCATTGTCTTCCTGGTTACATCGAGGGAAGTGGAATAAAACAGGATACCGAGGTAGGAAAAATGCCTCCCACGCAAGAGCGTCGAAGGGGAAGAGATAAAGAAATTGGATCAAAACTTTTACAAGAAGGGAGAAAAGGAAATTATTTTCTCAGCGTAAATTTTATTATACCTGACAAGAAGAGCTTGAAAGCGTCTGCTAAAAGCCCGTTATACTTTTCTCGTCTTGTTTTGTCTTCAGGAGGATATATCCTTCGGAAATTTCCCTATATTATAAAGAAAAAAGAGAGCAAAAGTTTCATAAATAGAAAATGGAAAGAAATAATGGTAGAAAGAAAGGAGAGAAGCAAGGAAAGAATAGAGGAATACAATGTGCAATATTTCCGTGTAAGCCCGCATTACTAATCAACTTGAAAATCTGGAGTCTACTGAAAACAGAAACAAGTGCGAGTTTCTTTTCCGAATAAGTAAAATTACTTCGGCTAAACTTTTTCTTTTCACGCGCACAAACACACAGGAAGAACACGCGATATGAAGGTCAATGTACTGATGGCACTGGATAAACCCACTATTTCTACAAAAAAAAACTTTCTTACTAAAATAATATTTTGACAACAAACAAGTATGTGCCCACTTGTAAATGAAAATACTGTTTGGCGGGTACTTAGTACAGCTTCAAATTCGACTTGGTTTTTCGCGCTTGACATTATCGTGTGTTTTTTGGTGGACTTTTATTGATGAGAACACTTCGTGATAACTATTGTACGAAACGAATTTCATAAACGGGAAATACTGGACGTATTTGCCCGACTCACCATGTTCATGTTCTCAAACTCTTCTCTTGCCGTCTCTCTCCTTAGTTGATTTAGTCTCTCTTTCTGTAGTAAAAATAATGGTGTATTGTTTTCTTTCAGATTCAAATCAAAGATCAATCATCTGAAAAGTGGCAAGAACTTACAAGTTCCGTTCGACGTTTGTTTAAAATCATCTTCTTCTTTTCCAGTTCCTAAGAAAGGAGAAATTATTAAACAGTGCAAATAGTGGCCATAAAAATTTAATCACATGAATTTTCGGTACAATCTCTTGGCTAATAACACCTTATTAACCCTTTAACCCCTAAGAGTGATTCGCATCTAATTTCTCCTTACAATATCATCCCTGAGACACACATTCAGGTCACGAGAATATAGGAAATGATCACCAACTAAAGAAGTTCTTGATTGTTAAACAAGTTCTCCTTGTAAACACCTTAGGAAACGTAAAGAGAACAGTATGGAGAATATGCCAACGGATGTTAGGGAGTAAATGGTTAATAAAACCTTACCGACATGGAGTACTCATTCCTTTTTGGCTGTGTTAAGAGTCTTTTCTGTGCTTCTGCTTTTTCAGCCGCCATGCCACGACGTTTGTCACTGACCCTAAAATATTTTAAAAAATACGACAATTTTCTTTCTTTTCTCTACATTTAAACTGGAAGAACTGAGCAGTTCCCCAAATCAGTCATGGCACTCAATAAATTATTCATTCAGTGTGGTCCTTAATGAATCCACCCACTCCTCCCACAGAATAGTGGTCGAATCCAAGACCATCCCCCGCAAAAAAACAAAAAAAAAAATAGAATCGAGGTGCGGCTCTACCAACTGAGCCATCACGTGTAAAGTTTTGCTGATCATGATTAGATTTAACCAAACTCATCATAAAGCGCAGACTTCAATACATAACAGAACATCAATCATGTCCTTGTTAAGAAATACTGCACCTGATGTTAAGCAAATTCAGTGCATCAGTTAACACTCCCCCTTTAATTTCACTATCAAGTTTGGTGTCAGTGCCGAAACTGGGTGATCGATTCACCTGTAAAATTCAGAAAAGAAAGAACAAGTCAAAATAATTATCTTGAAGTAAATTTCCTTCTACCCTATCGAAACTTACTAGACGTAGCTACAGACTAGATTCTCAGGTGGAAATTTTGAAAACCTTTCCCCTGCTAAAATATTAGGGTTTTATGTAAGCTGGGAAAATTCTCAAAATAAACATTAACTTAATTTGACTTCATCTTACACATTCCCGTGTAGAACAAAGGGTAGCAAAATAAAGATCGTTTTTCAAAACCAAACAATCCTAAAATTCTAAACACATTCTACAAAAGAGAAGCTTAAAATCGAGCACAAAATAGAAGAGTCTGGAAACAAGTCTGTACGTCAAGAATTCGTAGTTGCCGCGAACTTCTCCTGGCCAAACTTTTTATCTCATACAAATTTTTCTTTCTCGGAAAAGGAAAACAACAAAAACAACAAATTCGTAAGGTAAGAAAAGTAACAAATTAACTTCCGTGGAATTTGGGTCAATTTCGTATGGGGCCATAGGAAGCAAAAAACAAAAAAAAAAGTGCAATTTTGTGAGGTTTTCCTTAAGGGGGACCTTCTGCAAAATGGCGGCTGTTTGTACGTACGTAGCCAAAAAACGGAATCAAAGGTTTATACTTCACAAAATGTAGAGATGCCTGTATAATTTGAACTTTTCTTGTTCCAAAATTGATATTCCTCCAAATAATAACTCAGATGATTTCAGGGGAAAACAAATACAGAAAACAAGAATTGAGTGAACTTGACTTAAAAATCGTTTCAAACGTTAGGTAAGTATGTATAAGACTACCTGGCGAGCAGAGTCTCCTTTCTTTCGTTCGTGGAGACATTACAGAGCATGAAAATCAAATTCAAACGATGAAAACTGATCTGTATATAAACACAGCTTCTGCACGTGTGATAGTGAAAGGATATGTGTTCACTTACTTCTAAAAGCCACGGGCGGAGTTTTCGATCCAACAAAATATCAAAACCTAAAACCTCAAAACAAACACTCTCACTTCCAGGAGGTGCACCAGGTCGGCACATTCGGTAAGAGTGCAAAATATGAGGCTGGGCAACTATTAATGTCTTTACCAGTACATCCTGAAAAAACCAAAACAAAAACAAACAGTAACTACCAAGACTAAGCAACTTAAAAAAACACCCACTACATATAGAATATTCTATGTGGAATAGAATATTCCATATAGAGAACATGAGTTTATGAGAACACATAGCTTATGAAAAGGTCACACTCATTCCACAGCCATCCTATGAAAACCTCAAATGTAATTTTATCTTCCAATACTGTAACTATTCTTTCCATCAATGTTTTGTTTGGGTTTTTTTTCATGGGGAATGGTTTGAACACATGCATCAGAACCTGACTCTTGGTCATTTTCAAGCTACATGTATTTTCCTGACAACCCCAGCCACCAGTTTTTTCTAGCATACTTTTCTGCTTGTCTATATTAACTGACTGAAAGCCCTAAATAAAATACCTGGAGCAAGAAATTTTACCCTTCAACAGAATGAACTTACTGTTATGTTGTGCCAAAGAAAATTTACATCATAGTCCATGGACTGGAGCCAGTCATTCAAAAACTTTATAGATCTTAAAATAGAAATTGAAAAAGTTTCATCAATAAAGTGACATGGCTGTAGAATAATCATAAATGTTTTTGACAGTTCTTTCAAATTAAATGGAAATATCTATAAAACTACTCTTGTAAACAAAATTTGCACAAAGCCAAACTAGAAATAAATGCAGGAAAAACTGATATATTCAGTACCTTTTACTTCCACTGTCATCACTGTCATCTTGGTCAAAGTTCTCATTGTGTTTATTTATTGAATAATTAGTTAAATGCATAAAAAGCTCATCCTAAAAGACAAATAAAAACCCAGATCAATGCAAGTGTAGAACTTTATAGACATGTAGATACTGTATTTATTTGACACTCTGGTAAGCACCCTTCCTCAAATAAGCACCCACCCCACAGGTCACAATGTCAGACAAGTGCTCCCCTCAAATAAGCTCCCCCTCTCCCTTACTCACTTAAATAGTAGGGATGACTTTTTAAACTTCAACTCCAGCTGAATCAGTACAGGTTAACAGTTTGTTAATGAGCAACCCCCTTGACTGAACACCCTCCTTAAGTGTGTGGGCACTTGTTCAAGGAAATACTGGAAATCAATTGCATTATGACTGAGATATTTATTATAATATAAGTAAATATTTCACAAGATACATGTACATGTACACACTAAGATAATTGGATTTAGTTAACATAACTAATACAAAGGTATCCTTCCAGTATAAAAAGATGACTATGGGTGATTTTCACTTGCATATAAAAGCATTCTTACCAGGTTTTCATCTGAAGGGCTTTCATACACTTCAGTTCCCATGCGAACCTACAAACACAATCACACTGAGGTGATTCCAGGTTTATCAACAAAAATTAATTATTTAGTGATATTTTAAGATATCCTGTTCCTGGGGTTCAGGTAGAATACATGTTGCCTGGCAAAAAATGGATCATAAAAGAGTCAAGTGGAAAAGAAAGAGGTTTCAGGCACATTTATCATTACATTTACAGTACAGCAGTTTGGTATTTATATAACAAAGAAAGGAAGGTGTGTTTGGAATGTAAAGCTTTTCCTTTTTTCATGAATTATGTTTATGGCAGTGCTACAACAGTGTTCAATGATAACATAAACTAATTACTTACAAGTCCATCATGATACAAAAATATCCTCAGTGGATCACATGATGTAACCAAAACATATACTCTAAGATCAAACTTGAATCCCTCGAGGAGAAAAGGCTATAAATGCAAAACCAATGAATTCATTAGTACAAAAGCAACAAAAACTTTCATGAACAAAATTAAAAAGTTATATTAATGCTTAATCCCTGCTACTCTTTGTCCCCAAATGCATACTATACATGTTCAATTCATTCAAGTGTCTAATTTACTTAATGCAACAAGGGTGGGTTGTTCAAAGCTTGGTTAAGATAACCCAAGGTAAATGTGAGATATAATTCCAGATTTAAAAGCTAACTCTTTAAAAAAAATTCTAAAAATTCTTTTGGTCAAAAATTTTATTATTGGATGCTCTAAAAAAAAAAAAATTATCATGAAAAAAACTCTTGTACAAAGGAATAAAAAACCCCTAACTGAAATTTAACCTTGGGTCAATGCTGATCAGCCTTCGAACACCTGGATCCGGAATTATTATTGCAATTAAAATAAAACCTCTATTAGGCAGACCCCCAATTAAAGCTTTCTATTAAGCAGACCCTGAGTCAGGTTCCAAAATTGGATTAATGTCTTATATTTCCCTTTATAACGAGCCCCATTTCAGCAGTCACCTCCATAAAGCTGATGCAGGCACTAAAACAAATTGTCTTTCTATTGTTAAAAACTGCTATTAAGTGGACACTAGATTAAACTGATAATGTTGTGTAAGGGATTACATCCTTGAAATAGTCGATTAAATGTAATCAATCCTCATGATGATGTAGCTGTCAATAAACTATCTAATAGACAGATATCATACCAACAAATTAAAGTTGGTAATGAAAGGTAATGCTCTTAAAATCTGGATAGCTATACATTAAGGACATGGAACTTTATCACAGAGAAACTGTTGAATGTTTATCATTACCAAACATTGCACAATTTTTACAAACCCCTATTAAGGGTACACCCTCTATCAAGCAGACACTTGGGAAGGTCCTGAGGATGTCTGCTTAACTGAGGTTTCACTGTACTATCATAATAGTAAATGTAATGTTTGTAAACATCCTTACTTTGTCAAGATATTCCTGGACCACAATCTGCTCATGAGATGGGATTCTATCTCCATTTCGTACCAGAGATATCCTAAAATTAGAACACAGCTATATGTATTAATCATCAGATTCATCATTAAGGTACCAAAAGAAAAACTACTAACATAGTTATATGTTTAATAAAATATTCAATTTTCACTTAGATTGAAGCAAAAGGAAGCTTTACATATCTGTACATGTTATAGAAGGCTTCACCTGCCCCTGATTGACTGAAATATTTCAGGACAGCACAACAACCATGGAATAACAAATTGGCTCAAGATTATAAGTAGAGAGAGATGTTTTTTTTTTTAATGATTGTCACAAGCATGGTTCAAAGAAAAAATTCTGAGTCCCCATGAGGGACTTAGAATTTTTGAGACTCAGAAGTTTTTCTTTGTCTCATGCTCATGACAAGACAAAAAACATCTTTCCCTACTTCTTTACTGAGCTCAAAACTTGCCATCTCTCTTATTCTGTTAACAAGTTAGAGCACAGGGCCCAGTTGTTTCAAGGCTGATTAACGCTAACCCAGCCAGCCTGGGGTTAAATTTTAATCTGAGTTTTTTATTCCCTTGTTCAATTGTATCAAATTAAGCTTTTTTTCCTCACAATTTTCTATATTCTTTTTAGAGCATTAAATCATCAAATTGCAGCAGAGAGAATTACTGTAATACTGAATTTTCTTTTGAAGCTAGCTTTCAGATCTTAAATAAGATTTCACACTAACCCAGGATTATCTTAAACTAGCTGTAATTACAACCTGTCCCAGTACTTTTTCTGATATTTTTGAGCACTGTATGTTGGCAAGTCAAGGAAAAACTGAAACATTTAGATTTGATTAATTATGAATATATTAAAAAGGATGGTAAAAATTTAAAATTTAAAATTTTTTGTCAAACTTACCCATTTCCCATAGCTCCATTTGCTGGTTTGACAATGAAAGTTTTGTGTTTCTTTCTTTTTTTCAGTTCTCTACAATAGCCTTGAAATGCGGCATATCTGATACAGTGAGAATGGGCAGTAAGCTAAGGAAAGTACTTCACTTTAACATAATTACACTGATGTGGTCATATAAGGAAAAAAATCATGGTGCTTTTGTTTTGATCCCTCTTACTAATTGCTCTTGTTACTATTTTTAAATTATACCATCTAATAGTCAACCTGTACAAATACACATACTGTAACAGTTGTGATCTGTAGAGAGTATGTACCTGGATCAAACTGTGCAGTTATTACCACAATTACATTTATGTCATATTTCAAACATCTAAATGAAACCACAGTATTTCTATCATTAGAGGTTTTACATTCTTTGATGTTCATAGTTTTATAATATCATACATTAATTATTTCAATTTTTAATAAATTACCATAAAACTGTTTAATTTTGACTTCCATTTATTCCAAGGGCCTTGAGTTAATCAGTTTAATTACTGTCAAATTTGACCCTCCTTATAAAAAAGTCTTCTATCGATCACTACTATTATGATTATAATTACCACTACTACAGTACTACATCAACCACAATCCCTGGCTAGTAGTCTCTGGAGATACAATTTACTGTTAGCTTGGATCATGAGCATTGATTCCAAAGTTTCTATCAATACTTGCTACTCAATTCACAGTGGAGTACAGTATAATGCTGATTATGCAGTCACCACAGCTACATGTATATAAAATATCAAATTGCATAAATCCTCTGACAATAGATAAGTTGATAAAGGATACTCAGCAGGGAGAACCCAAGTTTGAGGAACAAAACTGTATTCCTCTGGGTGAGCTCTTTGCATTCTGAAATTTCAAGATAGAATGTTAAAATTATACAATTATTATTGTATTACTGCAAGCAATTATTTAATATGATACTTGTAAACTTAAAAACATCAGTACCATTGCTCAGAATTGTCTAACAGGGGTTTAATCAATGCTTGAAAACAAGAAAAAAATAAACTTTTCCTAGCTGCTATTCAACAAAGCATTTGACATTCCCTAGGTTATCCTATGGTCAAAACATTATCTGCAAATTATGCAGAATTCCCTTACCAAATGTTGATGGCCCAAGCTATTCATATTTATATTTAAAAGTGAGTCTCTACTATCATTTCCTGTAACTTCTTCTACAGTAACTATTAATTATATACCACTAACCAATTATCTGTACTTACTCTCAATGAAAGAAACTAAGATAAAAATACATGCACAAATATTGAGATCTCATGAGATACAATAATTTAAAACAATGCAAATCATAAAATATTACAGCATGTGTATAATTCACCAGTAATTAACTTCAATTTCAATTTACAAGCTATAAAAATATTTAGTATTGTTATACATTACATAAGTATTACATGAAAATTCACACCAAAATAAACTGATTAAACACTTACTTTGCCATATTCCGAGCTAGGTTATCCTTCCTACAAATCTCACCCATACTTGGAAAATGGTTTATTTTCTTTAGAGAGGAGACAAAACAGTAAGACTTAAATTATTCAGTTATTATAAAAGAAGTATTAAATAAAGTTGTGAAAATGTACATGTATAAGATACAGGCTTCGTGAGTGTTCCTTTCTTTGCATGAAGGTATCCTGTACATTGATTTGTCTAGATTCCCACAATATCACATATTACATGGTCTACTCAAACAACTTAATTAGTAACAAAAATTTATCATACCTGAAATGATTTTAGTTCTATAATTTTTTCAACTGGCACTGATGAATCACTCCAAATGAGGAAACTGCATGTAGAGATAGTCATTGTCAAAGACAGAAAAATCACATTTATAAAATTGATTGAAAACTATGGCTTTTAAGATAGATGGATGTAAAAAAATAATCAGTGACTGACATTTTATTTGTACATGTAACACTTCATCCTCCATCAGGTTACTTTGTCAGAAAAATTATTTACATGTATAAAGTTTTCCTATCACTGTTAACTCACCTGTTTGAGTCATCATCCCTTGCAATATACATTCCACATTGAAGACAAACTTTTCTAACTGCAAGGGAGAATTTTTATAATGAAAAAACATTGTTATGAGATAATTCCAAATTTCATATATACAGTAATTCCTTGAAAAGTATCAGAAGCTGAATCCATATTCATATGAGTGATGATCTCACTTTGCTTTTGATTCACTCAACTACTTTTTCAGAAAATTTGCATCATCCTCTCCCCCAATCAGAAGTAAAACTAATTCAGTCCCAACTAATGTCCCATTAAATGTCATTCCAATAATGCTTAAAAGCTTTTTCATGGGTGTTTTTTTTAAAACAGAGTTTAAATTCTTTTCTGCATAGAAGCTGCTTAAACAGATGTTAGTTACACTTAAAATTTAGTGCATTGAAATTAAAAGTTGTTGATTAGATGGATCCCATAGAAAATTAAGTTTTTCAGTTCTCTGTATCTGGTTTTTATTCAATTATAAACCTCTTGTTTAACTTAACATGTTTTGCTGGTGTGAATAGGATATAAATCAACTGTATTTTGTTGGGCTTTAGTCACCATCTTCTTGTTGTGTTGTCAGTTCTCAGTGGTCCTATGTGATATGTTTGTTATAAGTGGCTATTGTGATTACTTTGGTTGTGGTTACACTGATCGGAAAAGTGCTCTTTAAGTGATTTTGCTGTTGTAATATTATCCTTCTCGTGGAGGGAACTTCACTGAGAATGACTTCCAAGACCTGAGGCTGGAGGGAGGGGGGGGGGGGGCTCAATTAAGAGAGATTACATTAACACACACATGTACATGTTCACAAACATGTGAAGAAAAGAATACATTTATTTTAACAAATAAGAAATGAATTTTTCTAAATACATGTGCATACAGATCCAAATCAAATGAAACCGATAAGTTTGTGATCCTTCAGGCTAGTTTGTGTCTGCAAGCTTATTTTTATTGCCTTAGTCTTCAACGGTCCATTGTGGATGGTAACAGCATACACCAAAAGTGTTAATTATCAACATTAAGTCTGTGGACGCGTGACTACAATGTAAACATGCATAATTGGCAACATAACGCTGAATATTTTTAAGCGTTAAAAATTTTGTATTGGTCTTGGTGGAAGAAATGTGCGTCTGATCAATTTAAGCGACGAAGTTGACTAGAGAACGCCTCAAAAATACTTCTTGAGCGCGCATCACAGTCTAAGGACAAAGAAGTAATTAAGCTCTTTTGAAACCATGCCGACAACTTTAAACCACACATTCAAAGAAACAATGGTGACGATTATTTTGCATCAAAAGATCAACGTTACCGTTGTTAGTTCCAATAATTAACGAGAGCGAAACGAAGCACGAAAATAAAGTTATCTATTGGTCGTACTTTAAACCTCAAAATATATGTGTAACGATGCGATACAACTGCACAAACATATCTTACACTTGTAACTTAGGTGATCTTCCACGTACACGAAGAACAAATGTTATCAATCTTCCTCTTGGAAGTATCACCACGTACATGTACCACTGAACCCAAACTAAATTGTAGTTTTGACTTACCGACATCGTACTTTGTTGCAGCTAAATTGGCCGTTACACGGCGTTTCCTATGAGGTTTCTTCTTCATAGAATTGTTTACTGTTTGCTTGCGAACATGGTTTGTTCGAGCCCGTACCATGCCTCTTGTCTGTTCCAAGCTTTCTTCACATTCGTCGGCCAAAGATGCCGCATACTCACTTTCCCTTCCTCGATTTTCACAAAAGTTGTCAGCAGTGCTTAAATCAAGTAATTTAAGGTTGTCTTTGGTCATGACAGACCTACTTCCATTGAAACCATGGCTGCTATCTTCCATGGTTACAGAACCCAAAGGCGTTCGAGACGACGATGGAATCTTCGTGGTCAAATTGTCTGTGCTCATGATTATGCCGAAACTCGTCCTTTACATTCATTATGAACACATTGCAAGGCTGAAATAATAAAATCTGATGTCTCCTGGAAAGTAATTTGGTCGCAGCCGAGGATTTGTGCGCCTGTATGCAGAACTTTAGTGTCAGTGAATTGCTATCACAGATGTAGCGTGACAGAATTACCATAGCAACATCTGGTAACGGAGATAAGGAAACTCAAAGAATTTTATCATTCTGACTATAAATCCGACAAGCATGGGTTTTCGAAATATAACATTAAATTACTTCAAAGTAAATAGAAAAAAGTCGACGAATAATAATGTTTTATTAATTTAAAAATATCCGTCGAAATTCCCCGCGGGGGAGGGTACGGCTACACTTAGCCTATTTTCGAAACTGCATTTAACTCATTTACAACTTCCATATTTGGAAATAGGGGAGCCCCCCACCCAAATTGCATTGCTCTCATATTTCAAATCCACCCGCTACGTAGTGCTCGACTTCTTTGTCATATGTCAAATTTCTGCTCAAAAATGGGATAAAAAGTGTTTTTCAGGTACAACCATTTTGTAGTCTCCTTATGTCCATAACGGTTGTTCCATTTGTGACCGGAACGTCCTTTTCACCTTTTCAAATCGAAGGTAAGCTGTATTGCGGAATGTAGCGTCCTCACTGAAAGGAAGTTAAGATTTAGTAACGACACTGATTATTATACGTTTCTGATGTCGAAAGAATCATGCGATAAAAGTCTTCATCAAAGGTAGCAACGAAGAACGTAATCAGTTTTTTCGTAATGCCGATTGATTTTGAAATACGCCTTGAATTAGAGAGGAATTCGACGATCATAAAGGAAGGAAGGAATTCTAAAATCATTTACCCGTAGTAGCTACAGTTTGATACTCCGCATAGTTTACTTCTGTTTTCCATCATATTTGTTGATATACCCTGAATAAGGTTGATGGGCTAGTCTTCGAACTCCAGAGCTACAACAAATTTTGACGTAATAACCATGAATACCTTCCAGCTGACTTGTGCGTGCCTTCCATACAGTTTATCTGAACGCCGTATTGCAAATCGCGTGTGCAGTACTTGCATTTCACATGTACACTCAATGTATGCTATTAATACGATCTCTTACATGTATTTTGAAACATTTTTGTTTGCTTTTTTCAGCAGATTATGGTTGTGTCTTAGTTTGAGGGCTCAAAATTAAAGGTACTGCGAAGGCTTCCTGTGATGTCTAGGTTACGAGAGGTAAGCATGCTTGGGGGCAGATGGTTGAATAAGCACTTTATCAAAGGGACTAGGTCATGCTGTAAGTGATTGCACTGAGTTCTACCAACTTGTCCCTTAGATGTGTTACATTTCAATATTCCTGCATTGTATTTGGCAACAAGTACCACAATGAGCTGGCAAAGCAAGTTCTCAAAAGTTGCTTTTGTTACATATTGTACTGTGGTGTATTGCAAGAATGCTTAACTTGCACTTACATGCATCTTTTTCTGTTACTATCTGTGAAGTTAAATTAATTTAGGGCACTAATTCTCTGTCAATTAACCCTCTAACTCCCAGAAGTGATGAACATGTAACTTCTTCCTAATAATATCTGTACATTATCCAGCGAGCAGATAATCAGAATACTCATACTTCTCAAGTAGAAGTTGTAACATTGATCTGAAGTGAAATTCTTGTAGCTTATTTACAAGGAAGTGTGTCACAATCAGAAAGGAGAATGAACAATCCAATCTTAGGAGTTAAGGGTTAAAATTAAAGGAAGGATCTATTTTGCCTGTCTTTGGCAAGAATGAGAATAAAAGCTAACTATCTGACATAATGTTAGATCACCAAAATAGTGTGTTAATAGATATGAGACAGCTCTCTTGGGAGTTCTTCTTTATTTACAGTTATCCTGGAAAAATAAAAACCACAAAAAAGATCAGTGCCCAAGAGTTATTTTTTGATGATGAACAAATTTCCGAAGTCCACCATCATACAAAAATTGGCCTGATGCAAAATGATTAAACTGTACCATCATCAAAGGACATTGAAAATCAATGCTATAAAGAGACAAAAACCTGCATTTTCCCAGAACTCACATTCACAAGACATGAACTAAAAATTTGAAAGTGCTCTAGGGATTTTGAAGTTTGTTTATTCACAGTGAACAATTTTATTTACAGCTATTATGAGTTCCATAATGTTCAACGAATTTGAATCTGCAACTTACAACCTGCAACTGTCTTTGTTGCTAAGGTAATTAGAAGAAATGTTGACATGTAGATCTGAAGCACAACTGGTCAATTTAGTGATCTGTGTTTTGGAAGTCCCATAGAAAGCTGTTAGTAGCATTTCCATTTTGTAAGTTTTTATGGTCTGAAGTTTAAATGAGATAGTGCTGATGCCAACAGTATACAGGATGCATGTCATTTATGAACCGAAAAATGTTCCAGCCTATTAGAGAGTTTTTGTGGTTCAGTGGTAGATGATCAGAATATAGAATCAGAAGGTCTGAGCTTTGATTCTTCATGGGAACTTAAAATATTTCTTTTGTCCTATGCTCATGACCTAAAGGAAAAAATGTCTTTGTTTGTTTTCCAATTTTAGCTTGCTAAGTGGTGACCTCAAAAAGAATCAAGCCAGCAAAGCCCTTTTGATACACACCTTCAATGATTAACTGAGCACGAGCAATAAATTATTCCTAAAATTTGGTAAGAAAAGCATTGGGCAGGTGTTTAAGTGAGTACCATCTGTATGGGAAGAGCCTGATTTAACTCATGTAACTCATCTAAAAGGGAGACCTAAATCTATAAAACCTGTCATTTTGTTGTTGTTTTTTTTTTCTTGTAATCAAAACATTATTTCTAGGTCATTTTCTGTACAGATCAATCTTTTTTCAGATTTTTTTTTTAGGGTCAGGAACAAATCCAAACAATCAGAATATTCTAAATCCAACATTATGGTCCAATTAAAAGTAACACAACCCTAAATAAAAACTGTTATTTTGAATCAGGGTTGTCATTAGTAAATATTTGACCTGAGACAGTGGAATTTTGGCAAGCGAGTGCTCAGTATTGTTTTAACCCTTTAACTCTTAAAATCTGATGTTAATTCTCCCCTTTAGCTGCTAAACATTTTTTTGTAAATCAGCTATGAGAATTTAGTGTTAGATCAAGATAACTTCTACGTGATGAGTTGGAGTTTTCTCAAAACCTGTTTGCAGGATGTTGTATGGATATCATAAGGAGAAGTTACAATTTAATCACTTTTGGGAGTTAAAAGTTCAGTTTAACAAAAATTAAGGCCACCATCTTTGATTTTAATGGCAGCGGAAGATTGGGAAGAGAAAGAAGTTTGTATTCAGGGAGTGGTAGATGGTCAAAAGTAAGGAGAGGGGCTGGGATGGGGGAATGAAAATTACACCTGCCTGAGATCTTTGTTGTTTTACGAATCTCCATTCCACCAAGAACAGAGTTCCTGATTGGTGCGGTTAAGCTCTAAGCCATCAATCACAAGCCAAATGTGTCATTTGAACATTAAATTGCTCTTGCAGGAAAATGCAAAAGATGGCAAATTCTGTCAATGGTGAGGTTGTTAGTTTCAATTCTGCTTTTGAAGAAGCACTTAGGTGTCTTTCAAAATTTGATATGTCTCGCACTTTCAAATTGGAACAAAAAAAACAATTTCTGCACCGATATCTGGAAAGGATCTACTGGCCATGTTGCCAACTTTCTTTTAGAAAGGTCAGGTATTATTTTTAGATCTTCAGGTGTTGGTTTGCAGGAAAGAAATTTTGACAGGGAAACCTTCAAGTGTAGTTGTGGTTGGTCAGCTTCAACATATTGTCTATGATCAAATGAAATAAGCATCTTGGATCAGATTAACGGTAGCTAGGCTCATGGATTGTCATTTTGAGGATATAGAGTGTGGCAAATATCAATTTGTATTTTTGTCGGTAGAGAATATTTTGGTGAAGCCATTTTTTTCATTGGTTAAAAAAAAGCTACACCATTTCACCAGAGTATGCATGCTTGCATCAAAAAAATTACGGTGGTTAAACCTTCGAGTGTAGTTGTTTAATGCCTCAAAGTATTGTTTACAATCAAATGGAAAGAAATTGTCACAGTGGTCAATGGCAGCTATGCTCAAGGATTATTGTTGAAAAATATAGAGTGTAGGATATATCAGCTTATAGTTGTGACCAATTGAGGAGGTTTTGTCGAAGCCATTTCTTTCCTGGCTGCAAAAACTGCCTCACCATTTCACTCATCAGCTCTACATATGTTTGTTTTTGTCAGAAGACAGTGCTTCAGGTTTTTAATTTAACTCTCTAATTGGTTACCTGCTGATTTCCAGAAATGCAGTGACACTCAAGTAATCAGGGGGTGTTTTTCTTTTCAACAGCCTCTTCAGGCAGGTGTCTTTATGCCCTTGCGTCGGATGAATGATCTCGTACCATTAGCTCGTGCTAATAAGATGCCTGCATTACAAGCTAAATTGTGCTTGCATACATGCAACAAGCATGGCTTATTGCAAAGGAACATGCCCTTCTAGAGGGGTTCAGGGCCTGCTTCCCTGAGAAAATGCAATATTTGAAACTCCCTGAGGGATTATTTCTACTGTTTTGGGGAACAAGCTCAAAAATATTTATTTTCTGTCTTTGATCACTTTTCACAAAGAGGCCAGTGCAAAATGGTTTCGTCTTTTTACAACCCTGTGGAATTTTAAATGTTAGTACACGGTATCCTTCATTGCTTATGATTTGTCTTTATTCACACTTATAAAACTTTTTTTTAGGAATCATCTATTCTTGGTGTAGCCTCTACATCACAGGAAAGCCCAAGTTTCATGGAAAGTGAAGTCCTAAGAGTTACTCTGTTAGGTAGTGAATGGAGGTCATCCAAAGGAGGCTTGTCAACTCTTAACAGGGAGCTGGCAATTCAGTTAGCAAAACATCCCAATGTTGATGTCAGTGTGTATCTTCCAAGGTGTAGTGATGAGGACAGGAGAGCTGCCAGTAGCCATAATGTTCAGCTGATTGAAGCCCAAGAATTACCTGGTCATGATCAGCCAACTGATTGGTTGGCTTCTTTACCTGATGACCATCATCCACACTGTGTCATAGGACATGAAGTACATCTGGGCCGACAGATACCACTCATTCAAAGGCAGCAACCTTGCAAGTGGATCCAGGTTGTTCACACAGCTCCAGAAGAGCTTGAAATGTTCAAAAGTTATGAAGAAATTTCGAGAGGTGAGAATAAACATCATTCTGTGGTACAACTTTGTGAGTCAGCTGATGAGGTGGTTGCAATTGGACCAAAGCTGACAGATGCCTACACTGGCTACCTTCGCTCCAGCAAAAAAGATCGGGATGTATTCAACCTCACTCCAAGTATTTTTGCTGAGTTTTGTAATGTTAAACAAGCCTCCAAAGAAAGGAAGAACTTTTGTGTTCTTCTTATTGATCATGGTAACTATGAAGATTTTGAGCTGAAAGGATATGATATCGCAATGAAAGCAATTGCTCAATTGAAAGACAAGTCATACCAGCTAAAGTTTGTTGGTGCACCTAAAGGAAAAGAGGAAGAAGTGGTAAGCAAGTTGCTTCACTATGGCATTCCTCGTAGTCAACTAACTGTGCGCTGCTTCAAAAAACATCAAGAACAACCAAGTTATGCCAATTTATTCTGTGAGGCTGATTTGGCAATCATGCCTTCAAGAACTGAAGGATTTGGTTTGACTGGGCTGGAAGCCCTATCTGCTGGTCTGCCTGTCCTTGTAAGTGGTAACTCTGGACTTGGAGAGGCATTGGAGGAAGTTCCTGGTGGTTTCCCATGTGTAATTCATTCAGAGGATCCTAAAGAATGGGCCAATGCCATCAGAGTCATCCGTCAGAAAAAAAGGATGGTGCGACTTGAAGAAGCCACTCTTCTTCGAGAAGAGTATGCAGCAAAGTACAGCTGGCAGAGACAGTGCGAAAGTCTTGTTGAGAAAATGGTGAATCTTGTATCTGGTGAGAGCTATGTTACATAATTTTATATCTTCTTTGGGATAGTTTTTTTTTCTATCTTGATGCAATTAATGTAGCTACAACAGCAAGGTGTTCATGTGTACTTCAGTTTATTTCCTTAGAAGTGCTCTTATTTGTGTGATTACTTACATTTGTCATCTGCATATAAAAGCTGTTGGAAATATGAATAGTCACTAATTACTAAATACATACATACATTTATTGAGCACATCCCCATCGGGGGCTTCTCAGTGAACAAATTGGATTACAAAATTAAAATACATACAATACAATTCAAATTATATATCTTTAATTAAAATAGGGTCAGTTTAAAAATTCATTCCACTCTACTTTATTTAAAGATGTATAATTCGTATTGTATTGTATGTATTTTAATTTTGTAATCAATTTGTTCACCAAAATCAGGGTTGAGAAGTTTTTGATATACTCATTGTGTATATGTACATGTACATGTACATATACTTTTATGATGGGGGAAATACAGTTTCCTCCTCAACTTACTATTAAATAATTATTACCTAAAATTAGATAAGGATCAGATATTTTTGTATAATTTGGATGTAGCATGCTTTGGTTTCTCAAACCTGTAAGTATACAGTCTTAAACTGCATATACATGTACCTCATTTGAAATTTATAATGTGTTATTCTTTTTGTGCATACTTGTAGTTGATCCTGTTACTTGGCAACCATTGGCAGCATCTGAAGAAAATGAATCCTCAACCACTGTAGCTGTTCAACAGGAAGGTAGGCAACTGCCTCTTCGTAGATAGCTTATTGTGCTCCTTTAAACAGGAGCATGATGACAGGGATGCATGAGTGGCAGAAAATAGCTCAAGAAAGGATTAATTTTCAGTGAAAGGTTTTTAATGATGGTGAAAGGTTATCAGTAAGCTAGGCACTATGCACTCTGGTGCAAAACTGCATAAGCTGGGTAGGAACCGCAAACTTGTGGAGTTAATTGTACAGATGTCAGCAGTGACCTGAGTGACTTGGCAGTCAGATTTTTTTGTATAATTTGGATGTAGTAAATACTCAGGAAAGGTAACCTTAATAGTTATGTAATAATCATACCCACAAGATTAGGAACAGTGTTGCAGAGTTCTGAAATATGTACTTGGTAAAGAGCATTTACATGAGAAAGTCTTTCTGTAGTTATTTTACTCAGAGCAGGTTCTGTTGAAAGTTGGACAATCATGGTCAACTTGATTGGTGTCTTTTTAGATTAACTTAGATTTGAAAAAAAATGAAGGATGCAAATAACAGAGTCAGAGTTCCATGCCAATTTTTTGGAGTGAATGATTCTTAAAACAGGCAAATCCTTGTGGGGTAATTTAGTAGGATCAACTAAGTTGATAATGAAAGAATGGCCACTGACATTTAAAGCTGATGTTTCCAGTGCTAGCCCTCTGTCAGAGCGAGGGGCTAATGCTTGAAACATCAGCTTTAAAACTCTTCATGGTATGGTGGCCATTTTACATTATCAACTCAGTTGATGATACTTAATTACCCTGTTATACTCTCCCAATGAGGCAGCACCACAGTTTCTTTTGAAACTTACCCCCTTTATTAAAATCCTCTTGTAGTTGACCTCACTCAGTATACCTTTGTTGTCACACCATCATTTTGCAACAAATTCTTGAAAAATATCTTAAGCTCTGAGAACTGTTGCTCCCTGTGCTCCCAAAATACTCAATCCTTGATCCACATAGTTCTTTCTGTTTTTTTTTTCTTAAGCCATATGCCATGATTTTTTGCAGAAACCTGCTATTTACATGTATAAAAATAAAGTAATGATCATTTAGTTGTTTGTCTTTTAGGTTGGAGTGAACAAGTCATCCGTAATCTTCAACAGTGGCAACAGAATGCCAGTAGATGTAAGATCAGCAGCAACACAGACCGACTCTCAGACTTAAAGAAGATTGCTTCAGAAAAGGGCTATAGAATTTCTGACAATCCAGGGTCAGGAAATTGTATGTTCTATGCCTTGTCAGAGCAACTGGAGATTGTCAGAGGAGAAAGGATCCATCATTTTGAATTAAGGCGTTCCTTAGTTCAGTATCTAAGAGAGCACCCAAAACTGGTGAGTATTTGGTAAAGTACATGTAATCTCTAGAACAGATTGATGCTACAAATGTATCCTCTGTTCCACATTCAAGTTAAATGTTAGGAATTATTATTAGAACATTTTCAAGGCTTTTATCAGGAAAAAAAATTAGTGTGTTTGATACATGAAGTTGAAGTTAATACGATTAAAAAGGACAACTTGTCGTAAAGTTTGTATTTACTACAATGTCTTTATTGTTTTTCTTGTTTTAACTTATTATAGAACAACTGTGGGAATTATAATGCTGACAAGTGAACTTGTTTAAAGTCATTCGTTTTAATTGATCCTTTTTAACTCGTGAATTGCGCGCATGCGCAAGAGCGAGTTATAGATACGATGTGGGGAATGGCATTCGCTCGCTCGCTCGCTCGCTCGATTGGTCGATTCCTGTAAACTTTTTTTAGATTTTAGGCTTTTGAGTGCATTTGATAGTTTTTGGCGAGCAATAAACAGACGAAATGGCGACCTTTGTTGCTAAGAATAATGGTGGGGTGAAAAAGAAGCCAATGATAATCTTAAAAGAGTTTTTTTTTTTTCATTTTAGTTTCAACAGGCGGCGCCAGCGACTGGCAGGCATGCAAGGATTCACACTGAAATAACAGAACAACCTTCGTCTTTCATAAAATTGTAATTTACAATCCTTGAACTTGAAAACGATCCGAAAATTCATTGAAAATATCACTTACTGCGAAGCGCTCGGAGTTTACAGATGTTCAAAAGCTTTTTCTGTTATGGCGTGAGATTAAGGACAAAATTGATCATTACGTTTCGTCGCGTGTGTTTTTCCTGTGTGAAGCAACAGAAGATGCCGGCGACTGACGAGATTACAAGTTAACACGAAAATCAAATAACACCTAAACAAACAATTTTAGCTATCGATTTTCAGTGAATTTTTAAAGAACAATTTTCTTTTAAGTTTCAAGACAATTTGAAGATTCAACATACATACAACGTACTAAAATGCGAAAGTTACACACCACAAAATTGATAAATAGGCCTGAAATGAAATTCTATCTTGTTATTGATGATACGTTGCCTAGCACGTGACTTAAATCTACCCAGGCGGAGATCCAAAATGACAGTGGCAGACTTGGCTTAGTTGTATCACTCAAAACTCGTTCCCCTTTGTCTCATTTGATAAAGAGGGAATCGTTAATGTTTTCATTAAGACAGTATTGCCTTGATTTTCTAATATTTAAAACGAAAGACATTAAATTTTACTTTTCACCCACATTTACATCCAACCTTTTCTTTTGAACCAGAAACAAAAATGATAGACGTTTAAAACACATGACATCATCCACCTTGTCAAATGTAATAGCATGATCATTTCAATTGTAATGCCTTCTTATTCCAACGTTACTTTGTTTCTTTGCTACATTAGCGAACACTGAACTACTGCTCGTACTCTAGATATGACAATCAACCACAAAATTCCCTAAACCAGATAACATTAAACATAATCTAAAAAATCATGTGTCAATTCACGAGTTTGCTCACAGAGCACTTTGATTTGTTATTATTTTAAAGATTGGATATGTTAGTTGTGAAAATTACTCTATCAAACATTACACACAGGAAGTACTATTAAGGACTATTGAGCCTAGCAACTTAAGAGTCTTGTATTTGTCTTTGAACACTTTTGAAGTTAATATTTATTATATGAAAATATTACAATATTGAGTCATTACTAGACTCATTGCTCTTTTGCTATTAATATTACATGTTATCTTGTTGGACTTTCTCTTAAAGGTGGATGGAACAGATCTGTTTCACTTTGTTGATAGACATGCAACATGGAATGGTTACTTAAGAGACATGGAACAAGATGGCACTTGGGGTGATCATGTGATTCTCTGGGCTGCAGCAAACTGTTATCAAATAGCCATTCATGTGATTAGTAGTCTTCCAGGCCAGAGTGAGGTAATTATCAACCCAGATTGTCCATTTGACCAAAGCAAGCATCTTGTACTGGGACATGTCCATGAAGTACACTATGTCAGCCTTCAGCCCTTGCAAGGTAAGGCTTAGAACATAACACATTTAAAAATTGGCCTATCCGTGAATTTTGCAAACAAGATATTTCAAATGTTATAACTGAGTGCATTCTACAACTGTATTTTAGTCCTATACAGCTACAGGCCGCACATGTCTGTACGAATTACCATTTCATAAAAGCCTGCAGAGCTGACTGTTTTGATTTATCTGTGATGTAAATAAACCTCTGCAGGCTGGTGCATGCAAATTATATAGTGAGGCAAGTTGTTGGTATTCCATTCATTTCATAATTCATCACCACATTGTGAGTAATCAGAAAAGTGTTAAATGTCAGTGAAATAATTTGTCATTGAGTGACATTAAGAGATGATGAACCAACTTCCTCAGAAGACAAGCAGAAAATAATGTTACTCGATTGTTAATACTGTAGGTAATGGTAATTAACTATGTTTTTTAACTGTAGAGTTTTAAGTGCGGTTAAACTCTTTTTACCAGATGCCGTAGTAAAGAAGTCCAGGCAAGTTTCAAATGAAAAGGTTACACGAAGTTCGTCCTCTGTTGTAACTCAGTCTGTGAAGCGCCCTAGAGGTAAATTTCATCGTAAGTCCTACAATCCAGCGCTTTTTAAAACCTTTCACCCTTTTTTTTTTTTTTTTTTGCTATTAAAGAACAGCTATATGAACAAGCCTTCTGTTATCTTTGAAGGAGCCATTCGCTGCTCTTGCCATTTTAATCTCGGTGATTAAACTTTTTTTTACCAGATGCCGCAGTAAACAAGTCCAGGCAATCTTCAAATAAAGAGGTTAAACAAAGTTCGTCTTCCGTTGCCACTCAGTCTGTGAAGCGCCTTAATGGTAAATTTCATCTTAAGTCTTACAACGCCATTGGTTGGAAATCCAGCGCTTTTTCAAAACTTTCCACCCTTTCTTTTTTTGCTATTAAAGAACAGCTTCATGAAGCCTGCACATAACAAGCCTTCTGTTATCTTTGAAGGAGTCATTCGCTGCTCTTGCCATTTTAATCCTGGTGATAAAACTTTTTTTTTAACAGATTCTGTATTAAAGAAGTCCAGGCAAGCTTCAAATGAAAAGGTTAAACGACGTTCGTCCTCCGTTGCCACTCAATCTGAGAAGCGCCTTAAAGGTAAATCTCATCTTAAGTCCTACAACGCCATTGGTTAGAAATCCAGCGCTTTTTCAAAACTTTCCACCCTTTTCTTTTTTGCCATTAAAGAACAACTTCATAAAGCCTGCATGTAACAAGCCTTTTGTTATCTTTGAAGGAGTCATTCGCTGCTCTTGCCATTTTAATCTTGGTGATTAAACTTTTTTTTTACCAGATGCCGCGGTAAACAAGTCCAGGCAAGCTTCAAAGGAAAAGGTTAAACGACGTTCGTCCTCTGTTGCCACTCAATCTGTGAAGCGCCGTAAAGGTAAATTTCATTTTAAGTCTTACAACGCCATTGGCTGGAAATCCAGCGCTTTTTCAAAACTCTCCACCATTTTTTTTTTTTGCCATTAAAGAACAGCTGCATGAAACCTGCATATAACAAGCCTTCTGTTATCTTTGAAGGAGTCTTTCTCTGCTCTTGCCATTTTAATCTTGGTGATTAAACTTTTTTTTACCAGATGCCGCGGTAAACAAGTCCAGGCAAGCCTTAAATGAAAAGGTTAAACGACGTTCGTCCTCTGTTGCCACTCAATCTGTGAAGCGCCGTAAAGGTAAATTTCATTTTAAGTCTTACAACGCCATTGGTTAGAAATCCAGCGCTTTTTCAAAACTTTCCACCTTTTTTTTTTTTTGCTATTAAAGAACAGCTGCATGAAGCCTGCACATAACAAGCCATCTGTTATCTTTGAAGGGTCATTCGCTGTTCTTGCCTTTTTAATCTCAGTGATTAACGTCAATGTTTATTCAAAGACATGTGCGTTCAAGAACGAAGTATGTTGTTTACTTGCAGGTTCCGATCATTGTCTAATTGTGGAACACCTTGAAGGTGAATACATCAGACGCTCCAATGTGAAACCACTGCTGTGGGGTAGCGACATCCAACTACCTATTGATGAAGTATACACAAGGTTGCAAATGAAATGGAGAAAGAAGGCTTACTTTCAGCTAACAGAGAAGGAGGTTCACATGTATGAAATTTTCAAGCCTGCTAGGAAGGGTGAAAAGGGCGCCAGAATGGTACTTGTGGAAGGAAACCCTGGGATTGGGAAGACTACGTTTTGCCTTAAAATTGCAAGTGATTGGGCCAAAAAATTAGTACCAGTAGAGTTTCACTTCCCCATGTTTCAGTTGTTGTTTCTTCTGAAATGCTGTGATATTCACGAAGATACTAAAGACATAGTACAAGCCATCGATGAGCAACTTCTGAATGATGACATTAACAATAAGGAAGAATTTTTGGATTACATCAGAGATGGTAAGAATCAGGACGAGATTCTTTTAATTCTGGATGGTCTTGATGAGTTACCAGAAGCATCAGAAAAAGTCGTAGATAGGCTATTTAGAAGAAAAGTTTTCTCGCGCTGTTTTATTTTGGCCACCTCACGCGAAGAAAAAGGAATCGATGTCCGGCGGCGCTATGACTTTGATACACTTTTGCAGATTAAAGGGTTCACCTCAGAGGACGCTACAGATTACATCAGAAAGCATTTTAAAAGCGTTGATCCACAAAATTTGTCAAAAGGCGAGAGGCTCATTGAAGCTGTTCAAACAAATACTCACCTAAGTGTGCTAAGGAGCAATCCGTTGAATCTACTTCTCTTGTGCGTTGTCTTTGAAGACTTTGAAGGGGAACTACCATCTAATCGCACTAAGCTTTATCAGATTATTTTTCGATGCTTGTTGAGGCGATATTGCTCCCGAAATGGCTTGAACGTTCATCGGAATGCCGACAAAGCCCTAGAGAATCAATTTAAAGAGTCCCTACTTGTGCTAGGGGAGTTAGCGTGGAATTGTCTTCGAGAAGACCGCCGTTCGTTTTCGGAAGAGGAACTGGACAAGTTAGAACATTCGAGGACCCATGTGAGAAGATTTCCAGCTATCAAATTGGGCCTTGTTTTCATGGAAGCCAGTTCAAGGCCAAGTCAGGAACCAAGACATCAGTGTCATTTTCTTCACAAAACATTTCAAGAGTTTTTAGCTGCCTTTTACCTAGCGAACCAGATGTTAACGGAACAACTTAGCCTTACTGATCATTCTGTTTTCTGGAGGGAAAGTATGTTATTTAGCTACAGACAAGTATTTTTCTTTTTAGCTGGCATATTAGGCATGGAAGGAACGGTGTTTTTCAAAGAAGTTGTAACGATTTTAAAAGAAGACTTCGAGTGGTGCTACTCGGACCAAGAGTGTGAGTTCTTTCTTGAGCTTTTAAAAGAGAGTGGTGATGCAGACGATTTAGGCAAAGTTGCCTGCTGTCGTATTCCATTACCGAACGTTTTGAAGTTGGATGATTCACAGCATTCTTGGCTTAAACTTATACGATATGCACACGAAGGCGCCATACTCGAAGGTGATGTGGCATCAGTGCAGCTTACTAAACTGAGCCTGTCGCACAAGCAGTCTTTCAGTAAAGGCGATGTGGAAGATTTCCATGGAATTATCGAAAGCAGTCAAACTCTCACAGAGCTTGTCATTGGTAATATCGAGAACATGTCCCCTGATGTTGCAGATCTGTTCGCTGAGAGTATTTCGTCAAGCACTTCACTAAGAACAGCCACGCTACGACTCTTTGACGTGAGTACTGAGAGGTGCGCCAGTAATTTTAGCACCTTGCTATCGACTCTCTCGCAATTGGAATGTCTTTCGCTTGAAGTCTTTGGTGTTCTGAACAACACTGCTGCACAAGCCGTGAAAGCGTTATTCAAATCATCGCTAAGTTCTCTCGCCTTCATTGTTCATGGGGATCAGGATGACCGTTTAATGTCGATTGTTAGTGAAGGACTTGCAGAGGAAACCGCAGTGGAGTCTCTTAGTTTTGTTGTTTATGGAAGAGTTAGTAACCCTGGAATCGCAGCACTGCAAAAAGGTATTCTGCGAAATAAAACTTTGCACTCTTTAGAGTTAAAGGTTTACGGAGATATCTCAGGAGCGTGGATGGCAGCTGTTGTTACCATACTGGCAGCCAAGAAATCATGGAAGTCTCTTGTTATTCATCCAAATGTATGCGGGAAAATTAAACATGAAGCAAGTTTTCTTCCTTTTCCGATTCAAGGTGATGCCCCATCAGAAAAGTCGTTAACCGTGAACGTCTGTGCTGAACTGAGCGTTATAAGCTTAGAAGCCCTTGAAGATTTTTTCATGAGAAGTTCGCCACTATCTGGTTTGCAGTTGAATGTCCGAGGTAAACAAAGCAATGAAGTTGTGGATCGTCTGGTAGACTATTTTCTGGCTAACAATTCACTGTCCTCACACAGTATTATTAACCTTAGTGGTGAAATCAGAAGCTATAAAGGAACTGCTCTTGAAAGATTAGTTGAAGAGGGTCAAAAGCGTTCTGTCTCGGTGCACTTGAATGGTCCTGGTGAGGATCACCTTTTAAGTGGTTGTGATACTCTCGCTAAATTTTCGTCAGCGTCGGCTGCGTTTTTAGTTGACGGGAAGACTGCCACACTCCTTGAAGTTATTAAGCTATTAAGCTCTGCATCATCAACCACGTTCAATCTCATAGTTAACGATCTCGCTGTTACGTGGAAAGACTGGGCCAGCAGTGTGGGAAATGGCTTGGCGAACAGCAGATCATTAACTACATTCAGTCTCACAGTTAACGATTACCTTGGCACGATGGGAGACTGGGCCGACAGTGTGTGTGATGGCTTGGCGAAAAGCAGATCATTGACTACATTCAGTCTCACAGTTAACGATTACGTTGACGCGATGGGAAACTGGGCCAGTGGTGTGGGTGATGGCTTGGCGAAAAGCACATCATTGACTACATTCAGTCTCACGGTTTACAATCACGTTGACTTCATGGGAAACTGGGCCATCGGTGTGGGTGATGGCGTGGCGAAAAGCACATCATTGACTACATTCAGTCTCACAGTTTACAATCACGTTGACTTGATGGGAAACTGGGCCAGCGGTGTGGGTGATGGTTTGGCGAAAAGTACATCAGTGACTACATTCAGTCTCACAGTTTACAATCACGTTGACTTGATGGGAAACTGGGGCAGCGGTGTGGGTGATGGCTTGGCGAAAAGCACATCATTGACTACATTCAGTCTCACAGTTAACGATTACGTTGACGCGATGGGACACTGGGCCGATGGTGTGGGTGATGGCTTGGCGAAAAGCACATCATTGACTACATTCAGTCTCACAGTTAACGATTACGTTGAAGCGATGGGAAACTGGGCCGATGGTGTGGGTGATGGCTTGGCGAACAACAGATCATTAACTTCGTTCAGTCTCACAGTTAACAATCACGTTGACTTGATGGGAAACTGGGCCAGCGGTGTGGGTGATGGCTTGGAGAAAAGCACATCATTGACTACATTCAGTCTAACAGTTTACAATCACGCTGACTTGATGGGAAACTGGGCCATCGGTGTGGGTGATGGCTTGGCGATAAGCACATCATTGACTACATTCAGTCTAACAGTTTACAATCACGCTGACTTGATGGGAAACTGGGCCATCGGTGTGGGTGATGGCTTGGCGAAAAGCACATCATTGACTACATTCAGTCTCACAGATAACAATTACGTTGACGCGATGGGAAACTGGGCCGATGGTGTGGGTGATGGCTTGGCGAACAACAGATCATTAACTTCGTTCAGTCTCACAGTTAACGATTACCTTGGCACGATGGGAGACTGGGCCGACAGTGTGTGTGATGGCTTGGCGAAAAGCAGATCATTGACTACATTCAGTCTCACAGTTAACGATTACGTTGACGCGATGGGAAACTGGGCCAGTGGTGTGGGTGATGGCTTGGCGAAAAGCACATCATTGACTACATTCAGTCTCACAGTTTACAATCACGTTGACTTGATGGGAAACTGGGCCATCGGTGTGGGTGATGGCTTGGCGAAAAGCACATCATTGACTACATTCAGTCTCACAGTTAACAATTACGTTGACGCGATGGGAAACTGGGCCGATGGTGTGGGTGATGGCTTGGCGAACAACAGATCATTAACTTCGTTCAGTCTCACAGTTAACAATCACGCGGGTGAAAAGGGACACTGGATGTACGATATAAGCGAGGGCTTGGCAGAGAACGGTTCTTTAACGGCGATAAGAGTTGCATTTAGTTTGTACGGTGAGGACAGAATTCGCTAAACGTTTAGATAGTCTTTGTTCATTCCATTTTTTCTCCGTCTATTGAAAGCGTGAATAGAACTACGTAGAGCTAGAAATTAGGATAAGGACACAAAAGAAGAGAAACAACCGTGTTAAAGTTCATTTGTAGACTGTGAGAAGTTAACTAACATATTTAGTCGGGAGGCAAGAATTCAAACGGTGAACATACTTATCGTCGTCTTTTACTTATCAGTGTTGTTTCTGTTTGCACAATGTACCAGTTTGGAAAATATTTCGTTCGGACTAACAGTATACATTAATCTATTGCTGACAAAAAAGAAAAATATGTGTTGGTAAACATGAATTAGAAACACAGCCCTTTGCGTGTTTTGACGCAAGGAGTGCGCATGGTATTAATTAGAAACGAAGTCATAAAACTGATGCGTTGAAATACCAGGATGCCGACACAAAGAGATAAAGTTTCAGTGATCTTTTCTACCATGTCAACGTTTTATAAGATGAGCCTAAATGTAGATGCGCTGTATCGAATTTTCCGTGAACTTTCTGAAAAATTTATTTATTTTTAACCGGCTCCAAAGAATTGCCTATCCCGCTTATTTCCCGACCCAACCAACCATTCAGTAATAGGCACATCTCAAGAATAGCAACCGAGATTTGAAATATACTATAAGAAAAAAAGAACTCCTAAGGTAAATTATCCAATAGTTCATTTTACAGTTGTGTACTTAGTTGCCAAGCCTTTGATTTGGAGTGAGGCTGAAGGTGACCTTGTTGTGATAGAGACCAGTATCTAGTTAGCATGATAACATAGTAATTTACATTTGAAAAGCAGCAAGGTTTGTATCATAACAAGGTCAACCTTAGCCTCACCCCTGTTCAAAGGCTTGGCAATCAAGCACACAACTGTAAAATGAACTATTGGTACTGACTGGAAATTTCGCCTGCATGACTCCTGGAAAAATTAGGAGATAAAGCATCAAGTTAACGGCATCAGCACACAGCAAAAATGAACCTCCTTTTCCAGTTATACTAAAACCCTACAGCCCCCCTTTCTTTCCTACCCCCCCCCCACTCTCAAACCTCCCCCCCCCGCCCGAAACCCTGTGGAGGGGGAGGAGGAAATATTCTCTTATTCGCAGCTTATGCAAATATTCTGGTTTAAGTAAACAAAAAGGCTGAAAGAAGACGGTTAAGAGTTTAATTTTTCCTGTTTTCGATTTTCCGTTAACGTCGTGATTAGTCTAAGTAATCGCATAGGCCCGAGGACAATTCAGGATTTCACTTGTATTTTGAAAATACAAGTGAAATTAATCCTGAATTGCCTGAGGGCATTTGCGATGACTTGTTTATCACATAAAGGGCTGAATTTTTGAGGGAATTGCATTCGTGCGCAATGTCCGCGCGATGAAGCCCTTCAATGCCGCCACAAACGTCAAAACAAACGTAACTGACCTATAGATTCAATTAACATTTTATTTTCAAAATAAAGTTTACAACATTACACGGCTTCATTCAGTTACATTGCAGGCATTAAATCGTTACCGCAAATAGCAAAAAGGCTCAGTCAACATCTAGTAGTGGTGCCTTCTTGAAGTGCCTTCTTGATTAAGAAAAAATGCCCTCTGTCTCTGCCAATTAGCATTCAGTAATTTTGCCCCGTGTCGTAAATGATTTCGTGACAAGCAATTAGACTGGTTTGATCTACACTATTTTATTCTCTTTCTCACTAGTAACTCCGATCTCACAATCTACTGACTCAAATCACCTAAAATCACCGATCATATTTCTGTGTTTCCGTCATGAATCTATCAACTAATTCAATGCTTCGGTCAAGACACCCCACATGTGATAAACCTGGGTATCAACGGGGTGTGTAATTGCTTATGAGCCTCGAGTGTCACGGTCTGTGCAATCGTTATGCTCTGTTAACTTCTTGTTTTAGTAATTTTTTGAAAATAAATCGAGGGATAGAGACGACCGCTGTGAGGTGAATCCGGATGTAGCAATTACATGTCCAATTTTACATTTGTTTGATCTAGCACACTAAACTATAAACGTCTAATCAATTTTTTTTTGGTGGTGGGGGGGAGGAGGGGTGAGTACACCAGGCCCAACGAAATAATGAGAGCTACTCTTCTCTGGTGTTGTACGAGAAACGCCATAGCGGACAAATAGACTCGGAAAACTGAAAGTTGTATTGACATACGATACAAAAAGTTGGGGACAGGGATAGAGAGGACCGCTACGAAGTGAATTCGGATGTAGCAATTAGGTGTCCAATTCTACATTTGTTTGATCTGGAAATTATATTTTATGTTAGGGGAAACTTAGCGCAATTTCGATGACTGATGTATGACCAGAGAGGTGCGTAGAAGGTGTGTGTGGGGAGAGATCGGGGTGATACTGATATGTCAACAGAAATAGGTAGTCTTGCTGTGGTTTGATTGGAAGGCCCTTTTGTTAAGAGCTTTGAGTAATCGCGCTTTGGTCTTTAAGTAGGCTGGAATACCGTATCAAAGGAAAGAGCGGAAATTAAGTCTAGCATTGTAGCATAGAACCTCTTTTACCCCCGTGTAGTTCGTGACCACCCTGGGTGTAACCACAATAGTTCCAAAAGTGAGAATCCTAGCTCTTCCCATCTAAAGAGGCCCCAAATCTGAAATACTACTTGTTCCCAAGATCTAGGAATTGGTTCTATCTAATACCATACCTTTCTTTATTGGTTAGTCGCGAGAATTTATGTTAGTTGGACCGTGCGGAGTTTAATTCGGTTTTTAATCAAACGTGTGATTAAAAGTGGGATTTAGATTTGATACTCACGAGTGTGAGTCTCAATAGAATGGGACAACACAAAGTGTTGTTTCCAATTAATTAAAACTATGAAGAAATTAGAGAACCAAAATACTTATCCGTTTAACATTTTCATAAATGGAAACACAGTTGACTTTTTCCACGAAAAACTGTACCCAAAAGTTCAGCATTTTCGAGAAACTGTACCCAGAAGTCTGTATAACCACGCGCAGGTAGCGTGAATTGTGCAGTGACACAAGGATGACCTTTAAACTGTCCCGTCAAACTGTCCAGTCACAAGCATGACGGGTACACTGTTCCATTTGTGCTCCAATTGTATTGCTGATAGCCAATCACGTTTAAAAGATTATTGATAGCTCTGACGATAAAGTTAAGTCAAGGCAATAGGTTACAACTATCTTCATTCTCATTACTGGACTGACTGATTTGTGTGTCAAAAATGCGAGATAAATTAATCCATGATTAATCATGCAAGAAAATGGGCTGGCTGTGCATCAGCACTGAAATGGGCTGGCTGTGCATCAGCACTAAAATGGGCTGGCTGTGCATCAGCACTAAAATGGGTTGGCTGTGCATCAGCACTTAAATGGGATACACGGCTGTTCTTGTTATCTCAAAAGATACATGTTCGCATCGTGGGATGCTAAATAAGAAAAGAAATAATCACTTCGGGGAAAGTTCGTTAAATTTATTTGCACAGTGCTGCGCTTATATTATCATCAAAGTACATCGTAGCATTTGTTATTCTTGTAATTGTGGCAGTGGTTTTCAGCTTCACATTGTTTAGCTGACAAGCGCAGGTACTTTATCTTGGCTCCCCTGTACTGATAACACACCAAATCTAGCAAATAAAAAAGACACAATGAGCAAAGCAGTTGCTGCGTGGTCAACCTGACATGCACGCGTTTGTTGTGAGAACTTTTCAAGTTTAGAATATCAACTCCTTTCAGAGCTCTTGAATGAGCTTTCAGTGTTTAAGCAAAGCACAACGGCATTCGGCTTTCGATGCTAACAACTCAAAAGGAGCTTCGCTAATGAGGATGGTTATAACTGCGTGATGTTCAACTTATATAGGAGGGTAAATTTTACCAAGTCTTAAAGATGAAGGTTTCAAGCCCATCTAATTTCTCTCCTTTATAAAGATGGTTCTTAGATGATAATTTTCCTACCTTTGCTGTAGTAGCATATGGCTGTCATCATATTGCGCCTTCGTGTATCCCACCCATCCGACCAAAAGCATCTATCTGGTTTACTCTCACAGTCCTCTTGACTGGTATGCCATGGTGCGGCCATAACTGACATCTGTAATACATACTCACCAGGAGTCACGCATCCGCTGGGTACTAAAAAGGGTAAAAATCATAATTTATACCAGTAAGATTTTCAAAGTACAGTATCCATTTACCTGGTTTTGTTAAAACACATAATACAAGAGTGCTTTTCGTTTGAGTCAGTGTCGCCCCCCACCCGCAAATAAATACAGATACTGTATGTGGGATACTGTATGTAGGATGCTTGTCACAAATTTAGGTGAGGAATGCTCTGGATCAATATCTAGTTCTCTGAAGCTCAGTGGTAAAGTGTAGGAGTATAAATCTGAAGGTCTGGGTACCATTCCTTATAAAGATCTGATCTACACCCGCATTATGCTACACCTGCATTATTATAATTTTCAATATTTATTTAACATACCACAGTACTACATCAAACACAGTCCCTGGCTTCAGTTCCTGGAGATACAGTTTACTGTTAGCTGATGGACCATGAGCATTGATTCCAAAGTTTCTATCAATGCTTGCTTCTAAACTCAAGGTGAAGTACAGTACAATGCTGATTTTGCAGTCATCACAGCTACATGTATTAAATTATACAAACATCAAACTGCATAAATCTCACTGACCATAGATATTAGTTGATAAAGGATACTTGGCAGGGAGAACCCAAGTTTGTAGAACAAAACTGTATTCCTCTACATGAGCTCTTAATTTGCATTCTGAAATTCCAAGATAAGATGTTAAAATACAATAAATATTGCATTACTACAAGCAATTATTTAATATGATACTTGTAAACTTAAAAATGTGAATACCATTGCTCAGAATTGTTTAAGAGGGGTTTAATCAATGTTTGAAAATAAAAATTAACTTTTCCTGTCTGCTATTAAACAAAGCATTTGACATTCCCTACGTTATCCTAAGGTCAGAGAATTATCTGCAAACTATGCAGAATTCCCCCACCATATGTTGATGGCCTAAGCTATTTATTTTATTATTAAAAAGTGAATAATGTGCTGTAATTTCCAGTAACTTCTCCTACAAATAATAATACACCTCTAATCAACTATCTATACTTGCTCTCAATGGAAGAGAGATAAAATACATGTATAAATACTGAGATCTCATAAGATACAGAAAATACATTTAAAACATTGCAAATCATAATTACAGCATGTGTATTCACCAGTAATTAACTTCCATTTCAATCTACAAGTTTTAAATGTATTTAATATTGTTATACATTATGTAAGTATTACATGAAAATTTGACACCAAAACAAACTGATTAAACACTCACTTTGCCATATTCCAAGCTAGGTTATCCTTCCTACAAATCTCACCCATACTTGGAAAATGGTTGATTTTCTTTAGAGAGGAGACAAAACAGTAAGAATTAAATTATTCAGTTATTATAAAAGAAGTATTGAATAAATTTGTGAAAATGTATATGTATAAGATACAGGCTATGTGAGTGTTTATTTCTTTGCATGAAGGTATCCTGTACATTGATTTGTCTAGATTCCCACAATATCACATATTATATGGTCTACTCAGACAAATTAATTAGTAACAAAAATTTATCATACCTAAAAAGATTTTAGTTCTATAATTTTTTCAACTGGCACTAATGAATCACTCCAAATGAGGAAACTGCATGTAGAGAAAGTCATTATTGAAGAGAGAAAAATCATATTTATCAAATTGATTAAAAACTATGGCTTTTAAGATAGATGGATGTAAAAAAATAATCAGTGACTGACATTTTATTTGTACATGTAACACTACATCCTCCATCAGGTTACTTTGAAGCAAAATAATATTATTTACATGTATAAAGTTTTCCTATCACTGTTAACTCACCTGTTTGAGTCATCATCCCTTACAAGATACATTCCACATTGAAGACAAACTTTTCTAACTGCAAGGGAGAATTTTTATAATGAAAAAACATTGTTATAAGATAATTCCAAATTTCAGATATACAGTAATTCCTTGAAAAGTATCAGAAGCTGAATCCATACTCATATGAGTTATGATCTCACTTTGCTTTTGATTCACTCAACTACTTTTTCAGAAAATTTGCATCATCCTCTCCCCAATCAGAAGAAAAACTAATTCAGTCCCAACTAATATCCCATTAAATGTCATTCCAATAATGCTTAAAAGCTTTTTCATGGGTGTTTTTTTTTTAAAACAGAGTTTAAATTCTTTTCTTCATAGAAGCTGCTTAAACAGATGTTAGTTAACTTAAAATTTAGTGCATTGAAATTAAAAGTTTGTGATTAGATGGATCCCATAGAAAATTAAGTTTTTCAGTTCTCTATACCTGATTTTTATTCCATTATAAACCTCTTGTTTAACTTAACATGTTTTACTAGTGTGAATAGGATATAAATCAACTGCATTTTGTTGGGCTTTAGTCACCATCTTCTTGTTGTGTTGTCAGTTCTTGGTGGTCCTAAGTGATATGTTCTTTTTTTTATGACTAGCTATTGGGATTACTTTGGTTGTGATTACACTGATCGGAAAAGTACTCTTTAAGTGATTTTGCTGTTGTAAAATTGTCCTTCTCGTGGAGGGAACTTTACTGAGAAGGGCTTTCAATACCTGGGGTTGGAGGGAGAGGGGGGGGCCTCCATTAAGAGAGATTACATTAACACATACATGTACATGTTCACAAACATGTGAAGAAAAGAATACATTCATTTTAACAAATAAGAAATGAATTTTTCCAAATGCAAGTGCATACAGATCCAAATCAAAGGAAACCGATAAGTTTGTGATCCTTCAGGCTAGTTTGTGTCTGCAAGCTTATTTTTATTGCCTTAGTTATAACTAAGTCGAGTCTTCAACGGTCCATTGTGGATGGTAACAGCATACACCAAAAGTGTTAATTATCAACATTAAGTCTGTGGACGCGTGACTACAATGTAAACATGCATAATTGGCAACATAACGCTTAATATTTTTAAGCGTTAAAAATTTTGTATTAGTCTTGGTAGAAGAAATGTGCGTCTGATCAATTTAAGCGATGAAGTTGACTATAGAACGCCTCAAAAATACTTCTTGAGCGCGCATCACAGCCTAGGGACAAAGAAGTAATTAAGCTCTTTTGAAACCATGTCGACAATTTTAAACCACAGATTCAAAGAAACAATGATGACGATTATTTTGCATCAAAAGATCAACGTTACCGTTGTTAGTTCCAACAATTAACGAGAGCGAAACGAAGCACGAAAATAAAGTTATGTAATGGTCGTACTTTAAACCTCAAAATATATGTGTAACGATGCGATAAAACTGCACAAACATATCTTACACTTGTAACTTTGGTAATCTTCCACGTACAAGAAGAACAAATGTAACCAATCTTCCTCATGGAAGTATGACCATGTACAAGTACCATTGAGCCCAAAATAAGTTGTAATTTTGACTTACCAACATCGTACTTAGTTGCAGCTAAATTGGCCGTTACACGGCGTTTCTTTTGAGGTTTCTTCTTGATAGAATTGTTTACTGTTTGCTTGCGAACATGGTTTGTTCGAGCCCGTACCATACTTCTTGTCTGTTCCAAGTTTTCTTCACATTCGTCGGCCAAAGATGCCGCATACTCACTTTCCCTTCCTTGATTTTCACAAAAGTTGTCAGCAGTGCTTAAATCAAGTAATTTAAGGTTGTCTTTAGTCATGACAGACCTACTTTCATTGAAACCATGGCTGCTGTCTTCCATGGTTATAGAACCCAAAGGCGTTCGAGACGACAATGGAATCTCCGTGGTCAAATTGTCTGTGCTCGTGATTATGCCGAAAATCGTCCATTACTTTCATTATGAACACATTTTGAGGCTGAAATAATAAAATCTGATATCTCCTGGAAAGTGATTTGGTCGCAGACGAGGATTTGTGCGCCTGTATGCAGAACTTAAGTGTCAGTGAATTTCTATCACAGGTGTAGCGTGACAGAATTACCATAGCTACCGTAGCCTACTTTCGAAACTGCATTGAATTGAACTTTACAACTTCCATATTTGGAAATAGGGGAGCCCCCCAACCCAATTTGCATTTCTCTCATATTTCAAATCTACCCGCTAGGTAGTGCTCGACTCCTATGTCTTATATCAAATTTCTGCTCAAAAATGGGATAAACAGTGTTTTTCAGGTACAACCATTTTGTAGTCTCCTTATGTCCATTACGGTTGTTCCATTTGTGACCGGAACGTCCTTTTCATCTTTTTAAATCGAGGTAAGCTGAATTGCGGAATGTAGCGTGCTTACTGAAAGGAAGTTATGATGTTGTTACGACACTGATTATTATACGTTTCCGATGTCTTAATCAAAGGTAGCAACATAAATCATAATCAGTTTTTTCGTAATGCCGATTGATTTTGAAATACGCCTTGAATTAGCGAGGAATTCGACGATCATAAAGGAAGGAAGAAATTCGAGAATCATTTACCCGTAGTAGCGGTAACATTTCCGCACAGCCCCATACTATTGTAAAACAAATCTGTTTTCCCAATGGCAATGTATTGTTTTTGTTTTCTCTATTCAAGAACTGAATGCATAATGTAGCATGGGGCTGTGCGGAAATTTTACCTCGATGGGTTAGTCTTCTAACTCCAAAGCTACAACAAATTTTGGTAAAATTTCCTCACAGCCCCATACTACATTATGCATTCAGTTCTTGAATAGAGAAAACAAAAACAATACATTGCCATTGGGAAAACAGATTTGTTTTACAATAGTATGGGGCTGTGCAGAAATTTTACCCAAATTTTGATGTAATAACCATGACTACCTTCTAGCTGACTTGACTGCGTGCCATCCATTCGGTTTATCTAAACGCCGTATTGTAAATCGAGTGTGCAGTACTTGCATTTCACTTGTACGCACAATGTATGCTATTACGACGATTGCTTACATGTATTTTGAAACATTTTCGTTTTCTTTTTTCAGCAGATTATGGTTGTGTCTTAGTTTGAGGGCTCAAAATTAAAGGTACTGCGAAGGCTTCCTGTGATGTCTAGGCTACAAGAGGTAAGCATGCTTTTATGGCAGATGATTGAATAAGCACTTTATCAAAGGGACTAGGTCATGCTGTAAGTGATTGCACTGAGTTCTACCAACTTGTCCC